GTACAGCCTTTCACAAAGTGGTGAACCCCTCTCCATCTTCACTTCCGAAAAACTCTGAAAGACTTTTCATACCAAATCATGTCACTGACCTGTTGCCAGTTAACCCAATAAGTTGTGAGATGTTTTACCAGGTTTTTTTTAGCATTACACAACTTTCCCAGTTTTTTGTTGCCACATCCCAACTTTTTTTTAAATGTGTTGCTGGCATCAAGTTCCATGAAATGTTGTCAAATTGATATGTTGTCTTTGTACTATTTTAATTAAAAATAGGAATAAATGACTTGCACATCACTGCATTTCCATTTTGCACAGCATCCTAACTTTTTGTAAACGGGGTTGTACCTTAAAACCATATTTCTGGTCATAAGCATGGTTCATCAAATCAGAACATTCGGCCTGTAAAGTTTGATAGAAATGTAGTGACTTTTGCCTGTCTCAAAACGAGTTTTGATTACATCGTCGTGGTCCAGTGAACAAGGAAAAGTAATATTAACCAGCAATGTCATGTTTCATCTCCCATTTCCACCACCCCCCATCTGTCATCAAGTGAAATTCTCAGCTAGCTCAGAGACCTTCCTAATACTATGCTTAAAGCTAAAATAATCATGGTATATGAAAGGAAAACATGTTATGATTTCAGATTCACCTTGACTTTACAGACATAGGTGGGTAAAGCAGCCTGATCCCATACTAAGGTAAAAGTATTGTTATAATAATCGTAAAGCAGTGTAGATTCTATCTTGTAAAATAATTAAACTATACACAAAATTAGTAACTCACTATGGGTAAAAGTAGATTCTTTCCATCACAAAGATACTTGAGTAGATGTTTCAGTATAATGATCATTATAGCATTTATAATTATGACCCACCTCTGCCCATAGGTGGCATTGTTTGGAAAAATTTTGTAAATATCGCAAATGCAAAATATGGAATTACTATACCTTAATTTCATTTTAATTGGCTGGTAAACCCAGTGTAAACCTGCATAGTCAAAGCTTAGTTTTGGATGAAGTCACCAAAAACTGTTGGACATTGTAGCAATGATTTAAGGTTCGCTTTGTTTATATGAAGTTCAAATGAAATTACTACTCTTGGGAATCCACAGCTCTCAGAATGTTGTTTTCATCCTCACCAGCTATAATGTTACTTCTGCTTAAGTAGCAATCAGGGAAATCATCAGGCAGAAAGCATAGATAGATAACTACTACTTTTACAGCTAAGGGCAATAGTTCAGCAGGAACAGGGTGTAACCATAAGAAAAAACATATTGCAACTTACAATAACATAATATTACCCACCCACCCACTGTGCACAACCCGATCTCCTCTTTCTCTGATAGGCTTGTTTATACTGGTGTTAAGAACATCTCTGGAGCTTCAAGAAGTTTCTTCTCTTACTGGCCCATTTCTGTCATTGACTCCTGCTGTGCTGGTTGGTGGAGGAAGGATTTAACCCCAGATAAACCTGAGAATCTTGACCTTTGGGTCAGGTATTTGACCTACTTATAAGACCATTTTGTCTTTATGCCTGAGAAATAAATGACTGTTAAATTCGAGTAGTTGATGACCCTTGATGACATCATCAATACACATAAAAAAAAAAAAATAAATACACATAAAAACTCTCAATCAAAAACTCTAATTAAAAAACTCTCAGTAATACACTTTCCTTACCCTCCTCCTACAGCATCTGGCTTTTTACATCACAACAGCAATCTACTGTAATCAGCATCCACACAACATCCGGATTAACGCCACCAGACTTTATTGCCTGATGCTTTAGCATCATTTTTTCAGTTTTGCCAATAATAACAAACCCAAGGCTTGAGTGGAAGAAAACAGGTATAGGATCAAAGATGAGAAGCAGTTTTACAACCCGTAAGGAATGTACTGGAACTGTCTCTGCCCTGTATCTGTCCTCACCCTGAGGCATCCCTTGAAGTACCATGTTCAGGTGGATGCCAGTGGCATCTCTCCAGGTCATGTCTCTAGATCACCTGCCAACGGGCTTAGCTGCACACATACTAAAGCAGCTTACTGTCTTTATCAGCTCAGCTGCTGTTTATGTGCTTTGCTGCAAACTAAAATACCTGAAGAAAGTTGTCCTCCTTAGCCCCCTTCACTTCTCATGCGTTTTTTTCCTTACTTAGATCGGCTTTCTACTGTACAGCACTAAAATATACAGTGTATTATAAGCAAATTAGATCTTTTGGGCCTAATTTCAGGCCTAATCCAAATAATATATAAGAAGACAGGCAATTACACAGTGTTATTTGGAGTGAAGCCACAAAAGAACCACTTTTCATTCTTTAAAGGATCTCTCAATGGATGGTCCTATAAAGAACCATTTTTGCAAATTAATTGTGTGTCAAAGTTTAAAGAATCTCCAAATAATGTAAACGTTCCATACCAGTTAAAACTGTGGTTGTCCTTTTTCAAGCATGGCGAGATATTAACAGCAGTTAAACACATACAATCCTGACTGTTCTCAAACTCAGAGTAAAAACTATTACACTTGTGCAAGATGTCCAAGCATATTCACAGATAACCGGTAACCAAGAACACAAAACAAGTGAAAATGTCCTCTTTACTCTTCTAATTGCCATGTGCCAAACAGGACAGACAACATGTTAATGCAATAATCACATAATTCGCACGCTGATCCAATGACTAAATCAGACCTCCTGTGGAGTTCCCAGAATGCTTTCGTCCTTGATCTCTGTGTTAGCAATAGAGAATATAATCACGACACTCTTGAACCATTTTATGGTCTATATTTTATTATAATATAGACTACATTTTATCTACACTTTATTTACAGTAATAAGTGCTACACACAAACACACTTTTAAAATTAAGTTTTTACAAGAAATAGAATAATTACATTTATTCAATTGAATATTTACAAAAAATAAAGAAAAATATATAACAATTCTAAACTATTTACAGTTACGAGTACTAGAGTAATTTGTAGTGTGCTGCTTGGGAGACACCACAGAGACAAGCTGGTTTTTAAGGTTGGGAGGACCCAACAGCCAATGAAACAACAGCCAGGTGAGCCATTCACAGTGCAGAGCTCAGAGTCAGAGGTCAGGGTTTAGCTGCCACTTTTAAAGTGTCCTCCTGAACTCCAGGGGTCTTTGCAGGCATCCCATCACCCTGTCACTAGATGTCCCTCTGCATCACATAAGCGGCCTCAAACACTTTCTAGTCTCCTAAACTTGTATCAGCTCATTCCATTTGTGAAAAAGACCACTTCTTCATAACTGCCATTTAAATATTTATGTTTCTTCTCAAGTCAGTGGTTTGTATAATCTGCACAGAACCTGTAAATATGATCTAATAGAAATCATTCTGAAAAGATAATTCACAAAAATATCTCAGTATGATGAAAATATTTCCAAAAGCAAAGAAAAGAAAACAACCCAAATCATTGTCCCCTTCTCAGTCCCAGCCCCTACTCTGTCCATGAGCATGGTTGGTACTTCAAAAATATGATAATACATTTATAAAAGACATTTATTGAAACCGTCAGTCAAAAAAGTGAAAAAAGCCTGCCTGATGTCTCTCTGTGAGTCAGGCAAGATTCAAACGTAAACTGTGTTAGCATTAAGGTGTTTCACCACAGTTAAACCAACATACCAGAGTAAAATGAGAGGTAAAATGGCACAAGCTGGTCGTGGAGCTAGGGAAGTCCTATTTAAAGAATTTTGAAAATATATAGAGGGGAAAAAGGAAGAAGATTGGTGAAATGGGATCATCATTGGTGCAGTTACTGAGAGTTCCATGGTTAAAATAGTTATGCAAATTTTACCAGGTTTAGGTGTGAATTTATGTTGGTGATTATCTTCATGTAATATAAAATATATAATGTACTTTAACAGTTAAAATGGGTCAGTTACAAAATGACAGCTTGCCTTGAGGTACTTTCTCCAGCCATCCTCACATGCTATATTGCAGCTTTTGTAAAATTAAACATATTCTGGAAGGATTGGTAAAAATGCGCTGCACACAGTCTGCTATGTTACTGAGTTAGCATCTCACGTTCATGCTGGTGAATATAGTGACCCATAGTGTTCAGTACTGTTTGGAGACTTACAAAATTCTGATACAATAGCAGATGGAAGAATCAAAGAAAGCTGCTTTGATGCCTCATTGCTGAGAGTGCAGCTTCACTGACCTTCCATGTTTGTTCATGCATTTCAAAGTGATCACCGCAGTGATTTGGCTATTTGGGACATGCCTTCTTTTGCATGAAAAGGAAACTACTTCTAACGACAGTGTTGGCTCAGCCAACGTGTCACCTGCAGTGCAAAGTTCTTTAAGCCTTGGTCAGATTGGGGATTGGAGCAGGTGCAAATATAATTTACTACATCACTTTTAACTGGCTCTACTTTACAGGCTTTTCTATTCCATGGGGAAAAGCCAGTATAGCCTTCAAATGTGCTTAGACCAATGTTATACTTTGATTCTAACATTTGATTTTGTGTAACTGCTTTAAAACTGTTGAATGAGATTTTGTATTTGCTGTTTAGCAACTTAGGAATAGTTGCCATGAGAAGATAATACATATGCTCTTGCTCTGTTATACATCTCACTACAACAGCGGCAGCTGTTGCTAGCCTGCCTCACATTCAAACCATTAGCAAATAAAACTAATAACTAAAGTTAGACAGTGCATTTGTGGTGAACTACAATAGGAAAGAAAAAATGAAGATAAAGCAGAACGAGATCTTGCAGAGGAAGCAAATTTGTATTCGGACGAATTCCTTGAATTTCTGTCTGTATTTTCAATTTACAAAGAATTAGATTAAAACAATTATCAAAAAATCATACCAATTATCAAGGAACCCATTTTTTTGTATGCCTTTTACCAAACCTCTAGCTCACTGGTTGACTGTGTGTTCATGCAGTGTAGTTTGAGGGATGTGCTGGAGTTGTCAGAAAGGAAGTCTCTCACAGATCACTAGTGGCCAAAGTTCTAGTGGGTGGGACATGCTCAGCTCACCGTAGCAACAGCCTGCTCGTCTGCCCCTTCCTCTACCTGATTGCCTTTGCCCATGGCTTTCATTTTGGCCATGATATCAGTGAAGGTTTCCTTGACAGTTTTCTCCAGGATCCATCCCTCACTTTCGCTCTCAGGGTCCTCTGGGTTGACCAGTGTGGAAAGAGAAGTATTTACATACTGTAGTCCCACCATCACAGCAACCTGAGGGATGAGAGTGAGAAAATATGTATTTCAGATTTACATGAAGTGTGTGTGAAAGATTGTAACCTAAACTGTCTACCTGGAGTTAAACATTCAGTAAGTAACTAGGACACAGCTGAATATGATCCATCTTATTATGCTGTAAGGAGACTATTAATCTTCATGTTATGGTTAAACTGAATTTTCTTGTCCTGATTAGTGCTTCTTATGTCTTCTGAATAACTTGCAAAGTCACAGAAATGCAGTTAAACTCAACCCAAGTAAATAATAACAGGTTATATATTCACATCTACATGACAGGAAAGAATGCTGCTTTCATTTACAAGAAGGAAAGTGCATTTGATATATCATGGATCTTCTGCTCACTGCAGCTTCTTATCCTCATAGTCTCCATTGTCTTATTTTATGAGTCAATATTTGCACATGCCTGTACTGCATGAGCCAAGCCCAGTTAGTATTTATGAATACCTTACCTTCCATGCTGCTTATGACTTATTGGTTTATGAAGAGTTGGGCAAACTCAAATCATGAAGCATAAACAAGTTCCTTTTGAGATAAAAAAAAAAATTAAGAGCTCACAACAAGACAAGTCCTGCCAGGGCAATTTCCCACAAATGCCATAACACCATAAGAGAAACTACTTGAGAAAGTAGCGTCTCTTATCCGTAGCCCCCACCATTGCATTTTACTTAATCAGTTTTCAGTGGGGTGATTTTTTGCTATGTGCATTGAACTATGACAATTCATTTTTAAGTGTTAAATTTGGGGGCTTGATTTTTATTATTTGTATCTAAGTATAAGAGACTACCATTATGCTTTGTGGTCTGTGATGAGAGGAGTTTTATAAAGTACATGGTACAGTTAAGACTTACCTCTAGGATAGTAACCAACAGCACCAGTACACCAATAGTGTTCATCAGTCCTCCATAGTAGGAAACTAGAGCTTCCCTGCAGCCACGCTTCCAGATGTTCAGGTCCTCCGTTTGGTGCTCATAGCTGTAGTGGGCTGAGTTGTTGGTCACTTGGTACTGGATGCAGGGCCTTGGGGAGCTGGGATTGCAGCAGCTGAACGGGACTCCATCCAACAAGTATTGTCCATCTACATTGCTGCTAATTCGGCTACAGATGAGGAAACCATCATGAGATTTTTTGGCGCCGTAGAGCCGGTCATTAGTCATTTGTGTATATGAGTAGAAATTGTATTTTTTTTGGTAATTGTACATTCCTATACACTTTGCATGTACACACAAAGATGTAGGGCACATATACTGTATATTTTCTTTTTAGCACCTCTAAAATTAGGAATTTATTCCTACATCACTGAGACTTTACTGACCATACTGAACATCAAATCCCAATTCCACTATATCAAAACATGATTAAATGTTCAGCAACATTAAGACTTGAGGACTCGGCCTGTGACACCATGATCTATTCCGAGCCAATCATCTTAGCCTTCAAGTGATTGGAAAGGACAGTAAGCCCTAAAGGACATCGAAATGTGATCCAAGAAGATTATCAACTAAGTCTGAACTGGCTCGCACGGTTGATACCACTTACAACGCAAACTCACCACCTAGATCACCTTTACACTGTAAACTCACCACTTACACTGGAACAGCGAAAACACAATCACCAAAAGAAAATAAAAATAAATCAAACATGACCCGTCTGTAATTGTTGGTGCAGACTGAAATATTAAGATTCAGGTGCACCTGTGTAATTATCATAATTTATTCAAAATCAGTAGAAGTCAACTATAACTAATCAAACTAATCAAACTTTATAGACATTACCATGAATAGAAAGAAATCAGTATCAAGTTAGCTTTATATTCTCTGAACACTTGAGAGACACTTACTCTTTGACCTCTTTAGAGCTGAAGTCCAGGTAACGATTGCTAACCCACTGGATCTCAAACCAGTCTTTGTAGTTATTGTTGCCGCAACAACGAAACTCCATCTGCATTAGATCCAGAGTTCTCTTCATGTAGCAGCGGCCGGGTACGTCCGTGTCCTTGTAATACTTCATGCCATTCTTCAGGCCTTCTGCCAGCGTAAACTGCAGAGGGATGCGCATGGTGAAGCATAAAAGTGCCGTAAAGAAGAGGAGAGCATTGAAAAGCAAACAACAGATAAGGAAGGGCTTCATCACTGTCTTCCACTTGGCAAACTTGGAGGAATCCAATGAATCATAGCAGATCTTGCCACCAAAGGCATTGATACCACAGGCCAACAGTCCTACTCCTATAAGCAGGTTGGGCACAAAGTGGCTTTCATTGTTGTCCATAAGTTCACTTCGCTTACGCAGTTCAATTTTAAAAAAGAGGCCCAAACTGAGAACCAGCACCCCAGCCATTATGGAGAACCAGTACATGAGCCATAGCATCTGGGCCAGCTTTACCCGCTTCTTCAGGTCAAACTTCACCTTCAAAAGAGCCATCTTTGACAGCTAGTTTTTATCCTAATAGTGAAAAACTGAATACTGTTTACTGTCTCTCTTCACTGTTTAACCCCTACCAACAGGTGTTAGATCCCAATGAATTGTCTTAACTAGAGTTTGGTCTTCCTCAGGTGTATATATTCAAACAGGTCTTCAAGCAGCAATTTGTAATCCATTCCAGTGAAGTGGGGTCACATTAGTTTTTTTCATGGTCCTCTCTTCACCCATAATAGAAGTCCAGGTGTAAAGGTGAGCATAAGTCGCTGAGTTTTCTTCTCGTTTCACTTGACAAATGGGTTTCCACCTACAAGGAAAGCAGTGGCGTTGATGGGCAGTGATGCTAATGTCCCTTTTTACTGCATAGGGAAGTGGACGGCCAAGGATTCAAATGATTAAACCCAAAGTTACAGTACGTCATCCTAAACCCTGCTAATCAGCCTTATCCCATTTACAGAAATCCTTTGCCAGCAGATGAGCCTATCAGTAAGCTGCTGCCGTAGTATGTGATTGGTTTGATTGGTCACATGGTCAGACTAGCAACACTCGAAAGACACCAGAGACCAAAAAACTAAGGAGGACTTAAGACCACGTTACTTCCGCTGCAGGGGTCTTAGAGTGCACAAGAAACAACAGTGCATTTTTTCAGTGATATGACAGCAAGACACGTAAAAAGATGGTTCCTCAAGGGTTCTTTAGTAAAGAAAATGGTTCTATATAGAACAATGAACACTTAAAGAATCCTTTGCATAATTAAAGGGTTCTTTGCCTTGTTAAAAGGTTCTTCAGATTGATGGAGAATGTGCTGTAGATGGTTTTGTGTAGAGGTTTTTTGAAAATTTTTGGTGCTATTATAGAATGCTTTTCAAAGAGGTTCTATATAGAACCATCTACAGAAAATTAAAAATCAATTTAAAGAACACTTTCATGATGTAAAGAACCCTTTAATCATGCAAAGGGTTCTTTGAATGTTCATGGTTCTATATAGAACCATTCTCTTTACTAAAGAACCCTTAAAAACACATTTGTGAAGGACAAGGACAAAAGTCAAGGACATACATTATGGTAAAGCTGTGAAGTTGTGATTGTGCAGTCTGTTGATAATATGTTTAATAAACTACATGCTATAGAGAACAGAGGGTATCTGATAAAGTGATTTAGTCTTGCTCAAAGGCATGTATCACATCATCACTGTCCAAAGAAAAGTATTTGTGTCCAAAATAACAGGAGAAGGCAAAAACATAATTTACTTTTAATGTAAGTTAATGTAAAGAGGTTTTATTCCAGTGACTTTGGGGCATTTCTATTGGTCCACTCATCATGAAATTTTCACACAATGTAAAGGGCAGCTGCCGTAATCAAAAGATGTAGAAAAATACAATACACAAAAATACACATACAGTTTTTTTGGACGGTGATATGTCCTTTGAAAACACAAATGTATTGTAAATAATGTTTCATTTACATGAGAAATGTGTTCCTATTTGTTTTTGTTTTTTTTTAAAGTACCTCTTTTAGAGCAGCCACTCAGATAGTGCTTTCCATTATCATCAGAAAAACAGGTAATGATGGAATTTCTCATGGCAAACATTCCACAAGCTTCCACAGTTCTAGTACACAAGACCCGTCTTTCACAAGACATCCCACCATTTGATGTTAGTAAGTTGCTCCATCAGCCATCCATGTTATCTTCATTTGAGCTGAGGCTGACATCTGGATAATATGGTTTTTGTGCTATCAGTATAAATATATTTCATCATTCATCAAATTATTTATATTTGATGTGAATCAAGATGGAACAATAATTGTTATTTCAGTAGCAACACCTGTAAATAAGCCCTGCTTATTTCTATTACTTTTGTTTCATTTTAATTACCTGCATGTGGTGATTTGGTCATAATAGGCTAAAAATGAACATTTATCAAATTCGAAAGGCAAGAAAACTGTTAAGTATTGGTTAAAGTCATTGAACAAAGATGACCTTCAGTCACATTTTGCCAAATTATGATTTTACATTGTTGGTTGGTGTTATGGTGTATGGTGGTATAGAAATATTAACCGTGTAATCTAGCTGTGGGAAAAATGAAAGTAACATGTAACTGCACTTTTTTTTTTTGACATCACATTTATGATCTGCAATTAAACTAATCTGAAATTACTTTTAGTTGTCTCAAGAACCACCTATGTAGATAATAGAGTGAGGATACCTACACTTAAGTTTCATGTTGGGATTCCTGACTGAACTGAATGCACGTTAACCATCTTTACATTGTGACACATCCTTGTTACAGGATTCAAGTTTGTAAATGTATGATTGTGTAGGCTAGATTGTAGCAGGTATTAAAATTTGTATTAAAATTTTCATTTCCATGGCATATCTGTGTAGACAGGAAATGTTGTCACCACTGCAGCTCAATGCAGCCTGTGGAATAACTTTATTAAAAATTCATAACACCTAACACATGCACAAGGTGCTAATAAGTCATTTATAAAGCATCTATGATTGCTTATGTAACCACCACAGGTAGTGTTATAACTAGAACAATACAAAAAACAAATGATACCAGAGCATGAGGACAACAGTAACTTCCTTCCTGGACCCTAAATTAAGCGCTGCCCAAACGTAAAAAGAATATTAAAGAGAAATACTAAGGAGAAATAACAGAACATTCAAAATGATCTTGTTGTTATAATGGAGTTTTATTCCATCCTATTAATCAGTGAGATCTGTGAGTGTACCATGACAGAATTTGACTGCATTACATGTTGTAGTGATTAGTAAAAACATCTAACATTTAGAAGAGAATAACACAGTTCATGAGGCTGGCTCCCAAGAACATATCCTCTCAGACTCTGCAATTACAGTCCAGTTGGGTGAGGGCGTTCCAGCAGCAAGCCAGTTGAAGTCATCCACCTCAGACCAGTTGTTTCTTTCGGGATCCAGTCCAGACACTTTGAAATCATTGTCCATTCCATCATATGTCCAGTTAAAAGGGGCGAAACGGACTCCTTGACAGTCTTCTATTATTGCTCGGCTGGTGACATGGAGATATATCTGAGTGTCTGTGGTGTTGTGGGTGCGCAGCTGCTGGCAGGCAAAGCCAAGAGTGGAGCCTGTACACTCATCAACAAACACAGAGCTGGACACTGGCCCACTGAGAATCTGGCAATCTCGGACGTTCTTGATGTGCAAGGTGCTTGGGGAGCCATAAAGCCGCACCTTACAGTTGGTTAGGTGTGACAACAGCACATCTCGCTGCTGCATCTCTTCTGAGCGTTTGATCAAAACTTCATTTTGGACGTTTGAGAAGCCACACTGTGCGGCACTGACTGCACCACCATCCACAGCAGTGCCGAGCCCAGCCCGTTTCTCGGTGCTGCCTGAAGACGCGGCGGCTGCTGGTGGCTGCTGGCTCGACCCAGCCGTAACGGTACGAGACCGGAAAGCGAACTTCTTCTTAGGCTTCAGCTCTGTGATTGAAGCCTGGAGTTTCTGCAGAGCCGCTTGAGCCTGCCTCAGCTCGTACTGCGTGAGAAACATCGTGCTGTCGTTCAGGAACTTCTGGAGCTGTTGGGTTTTGAGGGTCGCCTCCTCTAGCATGTTGGTGATCTTCTCGTGGTCAGCGCTAGAGCAGCTGGATATGAGCTCCTCTATCGCGGCCTTCTCCGCGCTGAAGGCAGCGCTGAAGTAAGCCGTGTTTTCCTCCGACACTGACTGACTCTCCTTCGTATTTCTCCGGCGCTCCAACTCCTCCTGCCTCGCCTGGTCCCTCCGTAAGACACTCTCAGGGATCTTGACAGACTCGCTGGGACCCACCTCCACTGAGAAAGCCTCCATGTTGATGGAAAAGTGCCGCTAGTCCTCCGGCAGGAAGTAAATAGCGCATCGTAGGCGTGTCTCAATAAACGCATCTGTGATTGGACAGAAAAAGCCCCTCTCATCTTAGCTTCGTTTTCATTGGTGTACACGCTGATTCGTAAGTGAAAGGCACACGCTGACGACAACATGAAAACAAGAGTGATTGGCAGAATTTGGTGGCGGATATTCAGTGGAAAAAAGTTTGGACTGTTTCCTTCAAATATTTTATTAAAAAGAAAATGAGAGAAATTGATTACAAAATATTGCACCATATTTATTTTTGTAAACATTTCTTGCAAAGATTTTAAAAAAGATATTGATGTAGTTGTTCATTTTGTGATGCAGGTGTAGAAACTGTATCTCATTTATTTTGGAATTGTCCCCTCACTGTTATGATTTGGAAATCTACTTTTGTTTGCCAATATTTATAATATTTTTTCTTTATTTTATAAAGATGTTTTATTTGGGTTATATATATATATATATATATATATATATATATATATATATATATATATATATATGAAGGAAGATAGAGCATTCTCTGGTCACTCATCTTACACTTTTTGCAAAGTTTTACATTCACAAAAATAAATTTAACTGTGTGACCTCTTGTTTATTTTTGAACAACAAATTAAACTATATCTACATAATATTTCTGCTTCAACCAAAACTAAAGCACTCAAGACTCTTAAATTGTTTTCTTTATCTTTTTTTATTGATTTTGAATTATCTTAACCCCTAACAGTCTTTTTTGTTGTTCTCTGTTTCAATGTACATTTTTATGTGTGTTTTGTTATATATGTATATAATAAGCATAGGTTATGTATTGTTGTTCACTGTTTTGAAAAAGAACATGAAAATGAGTGTGACTTTGCACTGAATAAAAATGGTTGCAATTCTTGTAAAAAAGAGTCTTTTTGAATTTCCAGAGCCACAAATGTGGCTGTCGCTACTGCATTGTTTGTGCTTCTTTCATTATCTGACACAGCTACTACAAGCACCACCATGCAATCATCCTGTATCAGAAAAAAATCACACTCAAAAAGGATTATAAAAGATTTCAGTGTCATTTTCAATTCATGCTCTCTATTGCTGTTGTTGAGCATTTGAGCAAAACTATCAAAAAATATTAGAAATACTGTCACAATACAAAATTTAAGGTTTTTAAGAACAAAGACATGATAAAAAATATATAGTCATGATTTATTTATATGTATTATCTGCATCGACAATTGATCATCACTTTTCAAACACAAGGCATGTCAGATGTTAAATTTAGCGTAGCTTCATTTTCAATGCTGTATTGTCATTTAGGAATCATCTAGAGCTCTGGACTGGATTCCCTGAAAAAAAAAAAGAAATTCGGACCAAGATTATTCTTAAATAGTAGACTGAGCATTGCACTGATCCCTCCCTTTACCAGTAAAGATAATAAGAGGCTGTTGGGAAACTGGACCCAGTTCAATATTCTTAGTGTGAACTTATATAGAGTGGTAGCATAATAGTATGTAGTGGTATAGGCGCATGTGTGTGTGTATGTGTACATACACCAGCGTATGCTTTTTACATTACTACAAGGTACAGTTTGAAGTATCACCAGTTGCATCACATAGCCTGTGTGTTTTGGGTGTGGTCGCAGCTGACACTCCGCCCCCTATCGCCGGTACTTGTTTTAATTCAACAATTATGTCAATTAGAGAAAACGAGGTGCTTTGGATACTGATTGCACAACTGAGCAGTTCACATTATCCTGAGTTACTGTCCTGTACAGTCGTATCTCAAATGCTCTGTTTTTGTCTCCGAGGTGCTGCTATGCTCCTGAGAGAGTCTCCTGTAATGCACTACAGTCGGTGGTGGTTTCCCTTGGGCTGCAGATGCTGCCTTCTGCTGGAGCGGCACTGCTTCGCCGGCCCGTGCAGAGATGGCGAGGAAACCCCGTTGACAAGGCACTGCTTTTTCATGACGGTGAGTTTCCCTTTGAGTGTATTATAATTTTGTGATAAAAATTTCAAGGAAAAAACACACACAACCTCCTTCCTCCCCTTCCTTCGGGGAGGGAAGAGTGAGCGTGGAGAGAAAAATCTATCTGAGACAGAGCGAGGGACAGTGAGAAAAATAGATGAGTGGGAGAGGGAGAAGAAGAAGGAGGAGGAGGAGGAGGAGGGGGAGCAAATTAAAAGTTGCCAAATGGAGATATTGGGTTTCAAGAGGAGTGAGACAGGAGTACGGGTTTGCCTCTTTTTCAGCCGTCTTTATGTTATGCAAATCGAAATAAATATTTATGGTTCGACACCGGTTTACTTCGTTTATGTTTGTCGACGATTTCGACCCGTTTCTGGAGAGGTGGGGAAACGTCCCTGTAGCCAGCTAGCGTTCACACTACCAGAGGAGGCCATTAGCTGTAAAAATGCTACGACACATCAGCTAATCTGCTTGCTTCTCGCAAACGGAGATTGCGCTTGTTTAGCAAGACGTCCGCAGTACTGTTAGAGCCGACCGTCTGCATTCCGCCAGCTCAGCCTCCAGAGCAGCGGCCGCTAGTCAAACGGCGGCCGAGACCAGCGTCCTCCGTGTCCGCCTCGCGGACCGACAGAGCAGTGCGGGAGCGTTTTCCCCAGATCTGCCCACCGCCGTCTGTTAATTCGCTCTTTTAAAAAAAAAACAAAAAACAAAGGCTGGTCTCTGGCTGGCTGTAATCCTTTTCCCCCCTAAGAGCTGAAAATGGGACTCCTCTGGCTAAGCTAAACCCTGATAAAGCTTTATTTCCTGGCTCTAACCGCCCCTGTTTGCGAGCTCGTCCAGTCCAGAAGCTGCTGAATGAACAGTCCTGTCCTGTCCTGTCCTGCCCTCGCTCAGACTCGGTTTAAATTAGACTGTACATCGAGGGTCGATGGTTTTTGCTGCGTCTCCTTTCCGCCCCCCTGCCTCAACAATCGAAGCGCACGGCTAACCTTTTGCTAGTCTTTCAGAGAGGAAGGGAAAGAGACATTTCTCCTCCCTTATTTGGCCAGTAAAGTATGAGTGGAACTGGCCAGATTGGTACTTGTAAAATATATTCGAGTCTGACTCGTGCACTACTTCAGAGGTTTCTTTTAAACCTGAACGCTGTTTTAGTGTAGCGTTAACGGCGGTGTGAATTAGCCGTCATGTGGCTGTTTAACTGGAAACAGTATTTTCCCTCAAGTGCAGAATACAAAGCCAAAAACTAAAACCATCTAACTAAACCTCATCTCTGACCTTCCAACGCAATGTTTTAAGTCAACTTTGACATGCAGAAGGACAAGGAATGATTCAGGAACCGAACAGAAACAGATGAGACAGTGTATCATTCGCTGATCTGTTTTCTACCTTCTGGTGTAAAACGTGAAAAATAATTCGAGCGGTTTTATTCTTTATCGAATAAATGTATTGTTAGAAGGACAGATCTGCGTCCTGTAAGTCATGTAACATGTAGTTTTACATTCATACAGAAACGCACAAATCACCATTTTCGCCATTGATCAGTCGACTTCCAGTCGGTGAGACTGTAAGTCGGCGAGAGACTGTCATAATCATGTTTCTGCTAAAAAATAACCTTATTTAGCAGTTTCTTCAGTTAACGTCCAAATCATGAATACTGGCCAAACAGGTTTTGCCCATCCCCCCACACTTCCCCTTTAGTCACAGTCCTTTGTGCTGAACGGTTCATCACGCGATTATGTAGCTGTCTGTTTACCAGTACACACTGTTTTCCCCCAGTATTCAAATCGTCTCTTTTTATTATCTAGTTTGGGAGCTTTCTCTCTACTTCGGCTCTCGCTATACTCAGTTTGCCTGTGGCTAGAAGAGTGGCGCAGTTTCGCTACCAGCCGCCATTTTAACTCAGTGTGGAGAAGAGGTGCTTTGTGTCCGCTGGCATTACAGAAGCATATCTAGAAATGAACACAGTTCCCCATATACTCTTTTAAAAGCATTTCAGTGTGAAGTGAACGTAATGTTCAAAAAAGACATGACATTCTAACCGTCAACTTTTCTTTCTACAAAACTGTTAAAATGCAATTCATTTTATGGTTCTGTTGTAATTGTTCCACAAAAGCTGACAAAATTTACCACACAAGGTTACATTTCACACCCTGATGTAAACAAATGTTTACAAATAAACTAAGAAAGCAAAATAAATCAATAATTTTTAAATAATAGCAAAATGTACTTTTCCTAAAAACATGTTTTCTTTGCATTCACTCATCAACAGTGTCTTACCTCTAAGTGACTTTTTAGAGGACTATTTACATGTCAAGCTTATCTTATTAGAGGCCTAGTTTCTTTAAATCCCAAACTTCCCATTTCAGGACATTCATTCTATTCAGTAACATCAATTACTTTTGATGATGTTGCCGATAGCTAAACTGCACCACTTTGCTAGCCACAGGGAAACTATAGCGTACAGCAAAGCTGTGGCACTTGGTATCTGGTTGTTGTTAAAGGCATCTGTAAATGTGTTATTCTGTAACCATGTAACCACAGGTGTCATGGATGATGATGACGATCGCCGTCTTCTGGATTTTATAGGGTAAGTTGGATTAGGCCTTTAATAATTAATATCTAAATTTTTTAATTTTGAAAGTGAATAGAAGTGTTTGAACACAAAATAATACAAGCTTGTCTATGCTAGTGTTCACTTTCACAGCACTTTGTATCCCTTTTCTTTTCAAAACAGAGATGTGCAAGAATTGAATGAATATCTTCATGGCGACGATAACAAGTCGGTACGTTTATAAGGATTGGTAGTACTTCATGTGGATTATTTATTACAGGAAGATTCAGATCAGAACTACCTAGTTTTGTTTTTTCCTTGCTCTAACACACCTGGTTTAATTTGTCATCTTATAAAGTCAGAATTTGAAGTAAAATTATGCAGTGCTGTGGTTGTTCAGGACTAGGATTGGAACCCTCTGATTTTTTGGCAACCTTTTCTGATCTTTGAGCAGATAGAGGAGGATGACCTAACAAATGCTACATATGGGTCTGCAGGCTCCTTTTTCACAAGTGACACAGTGAGTATGTTTTGCAAAAGACCCTATATAGTCAGTTGGTTCCACTGTAAATGACACTCAAAGGTAATTGGTGTTTTATTTTCTTGTCCAGGGTGGCTCAGATGAAGGGCTTAAAGATGACCACAATCACCTGGAAGAGTTTGGGGAGGCTGGTGGAGCTGGACTTCAGCTCTCCAACAGTCTTCAGTTCATCGAAGATGAGCTTGAAGGGACCGTCTCCCCCAGTGGAATTGATCTTGGTGGTGAGGACCAGCCATTTGACATCCTTCAGAAGTCTTTGCTGGAGGCAGATATCACAGAGCAGACATTGGCTCAAGAGGCCTTGTTGGACTCCCAGCCTACTTTAGCCCCTGCCACTACCACCTTCCCTCAGCAGCTGGTCTCTGGGGGATTCGGTGGCGTTTCAGGAGCCGGAGTGATGGCCCCATTGCCCCTTGCTGGGGCGCAACCTCAGGCTTTTATTCAGCAAGTTCCCCAGTTGCCATTGGCAAATGGACCAGCAGGACATATTCAGTTAGTGGGCTCGTTTAATGGAGGTGCCCCCTCCATGATGACTATCAACAGCCTGGAGCGGCCTCAGATCCTGTTGAGGCCTGGTGGAAATGCAGTGACGAACAGTACTGGCCAGGGTGCAGCCTTCGCCCCTGCTGCACCTGGACAAGTGTCAGTTCCCTTTAATAAAGGTGCAATACCATTGCAGAATATTATCATTCAGAGGGGCCCTGCACCACAGACATTGGTTAGGCCCATTCAGCCTAAGCCCCTTCAGACAGGTGGACAAACTGTGTACAATATCAGCAACATAGGGATCCAGCAAAACACCACCACTACTGCAAATCCAGGAAATAATGTCTACACAGTCAATGGATCTCCTCAGACTACCCAGCAGGTAAAAGTACTTAGTCAAGGCACCAGCATTGTAGTACATTCTCCATTAGGACAGCAAGGACAGCCACAAACCCAGCCCAGTCTGCCCCAGGGGCAGTTTTTGCTACCCAGTTCTTTGGCCCTCACTACTGGCAGCACTGTCCATGGCTTCCAGGCAGTGAATGGACAAGTTCTCCAATCCAACACACAAGTAGGTGACTCGTCCTTAACTAGCACTACTTCCTACTCCATCTTGACCAATCAGAATACAGCAGTACAGATAATTGCTGGACAGAATTTTGCCGCTGGGGGGCAGTTGATAGTTAATCAAGGTATGGTTAGTGCAGGTCAGATAGGGCAAGCTTCTCCTACAGCTGTTGTGCAGGTCTCCCAGAGGCCTGGTGTCGCAGCCAAAGTCTGGACCGCCAGTGCATCGCAGAGTCCAGCAACTATACCGACCTCCCAGGCTCCAAGCCGTCTCACCATGGTTAACTCTGCAGCCCAGGGGCTCCAGGCACACCAGCAGATATCTGTCAGTGCAGTACCGCGCCTTTTAGTGCCTATGGCACAGAACGCCACAAGCTCTTCACATGTTGCAGGTCAAGAGCTACAGTTTGAAAAGCAGCAGGTACCCTTGAACCAGGTAAGATGTTGTAGTATATGAGTATTTTCTTGCTTTCCCATCCTTTCTCTGATTTTTCTCTGACTTTCTCTGAAAAGCCTATGAGTGCCTCTAAACAAGCAAAAATGTTTTTTTCAATTTCCAAGGAGTCCACTTTACTAACACAAAAAGGGCAGACACAATTGGTTAATCTTCTTGGTACCAAAGGTATGAGTTTGTTATGTTGTTTTTTTTTTTTTAAGGTAACCAACTTTAAATGGTGAGCTAATATTAACTGTTAAATTCACAGGTATGAAAACGGTAACTCCCACTAACCAGGAATCTCTTCTTACAACCACTTCGAAGAGACCCGCAACTCAGCAGCTTACCAGAGGAGGAATGTGAGTGTCCCAGTAGAATGAACTTATCCTTGCTCACTTTTACCAGCAGTGTATTAAAGGGGAATTCCACCAATTTTTAAAAAATCTTGCATAATTCAGTCATTGAGATGTAAACAAAGTCATTCAGAGTGGTTTGTTGTGAGGTGTATCGTAGAGAAATGTTCCAGCTCGCACCTCTTTACAATGTTGGTGTCAGGAACCAGGGGTCATGATATCTACAACACAGGTATAGCCATTTTACTTGCTATTGAAAATGACCAGTGTACCTACACGTCTTTTACGTTTTATATGTAACATTAATAGTGATAATACAGTGTTTTAAAAAAGAGTGCTTTTGCCTTACAGCACCCTGTATCTTTCATCAAGGAATGGATTAATGAATGGAAAAAACATGTTTAGACCAAAATCATCACTAAACTGTCATAAAAGAGACATGTCTTAGGCATCAGGCAGCACATACATAACCATTTTGTGTAATAACGTGCTGTTATGTAGCTTTTTGCAGCATTAAAAGCCTTGGACATTGTTCCTCTCGCTATCACTGAACAATTTTGACTGTAATTTTCTATAAAATAGAGCATTTCCCATCAAACCACTCTCAATGATTTTGTTTACATCACAGTGATTGAATTAGGCAGTGCTTTTGAAAAATCCATGGAATTCTTCTTTATTATCCTAAAAGGCAGCATGACCGGCCTGAGATTAACCTGCCTCCCTTTTGCAGGATCCTCCAGCAATTAAGAAGAGATCATACCGGAGTGATGTCTCCAAACCGAGCACCCTTCACTTCTCTGAATGATGTCATTGACAGATTATTACCCTATCATGTGTTCCAAGGAGCACCACCTTGTGAGGAGGATTTTACCAAAGGTATGATTTACTGTGCTTTTAGTCCATAGTGTTAGTACACAGGACATTTTGAATGCAAGCTCTAAGTGCTCTTTGTCTTTGCAGTGGATGAAGAATTTCAGGCAGTTGCTACACAAGTGTTGAAGAGAACGCAAGCCATGGTGAACAAATACAGGCGCTTGCTCATGGTGGAGTCTGAGGTAGGATTACTCCCACATTTTAAACACAAGTAATCTTCCAGCAGTCCCAATGAAATGATTCTACAGAGTTATCAACATTCCTAAAATCTGTACTTACTTCTCTCACAGCGGTCCAGCCCATCATCAGAAATAGTGATGATTGACAGAACGTTCAACCAAGAGGAGCGGAGCACGCTGACTCAAGACAAACGAATGGTACTTGTAGACCCAGGTAAAACAAAACTGAGCAACTGACATGTTTTCTTGCTGTTGGGACAAACATTCCTTACATGAATGTAACGAGTTTATTCTTAGCCATTTTGGATTATCTCTGTTGGTCATTAAATATTCACACGCACACACTGCCTACTTGTTTCAGATGGCTTCCTAGAGGACTTTTGCTGTGGGCCTAAGAAGATGACTTCTCGCTCAGAAGCCATGGATTCAGTTGAATATGAGGGCTTCCCCAGTTTAATGGGGGCATCTCCTAGCCAAGACACGACAAACATGGGAGGTGCACAGGGGACGGATATATGTACGGAGCCTGCTTATAGGACAGAATCCTATCCAGCTTTTGAGGATCCAGGGGGTGGGAAACAGGGAGAATATGGAGAGACTGCCATCAAGATCACCATAGACATGAAGAAAAAGAGGTCCAATAACATCATCAGTAGCAGCAGTCAGCACCACCAACGCCTTCACCATGCTCAGCACTCCACATCTCCTAGCCACTCTCAGCACAGCTCTGCCCAGCCCTATCCTCCAGAACAGGCCCTGTCTTTAGACCATAGTCACGTCTCACTGGCCGACACAGACTCTGTGCTTGAAGCCGCGGTGAACAGCATATTAGAATGTTAGTGCCATGTTTTTCTTTGTGTTCGAGAGATTGCATTTCATACCATCACAGTGACGATGTGAGTAGAATCCCATGATTTGTGAGATTGGAGAACACATTTCAACAAAACAAAAAGGTTTGTGCACAAAGTGTCCCTTCAGGTGAGCGGTAATTAGGAAAGGGAAAAATAGAATGATGGTGATGATCTATTGTGCCTATCATTCTGGAAACATTCACATTAGAAAGCCTTGTTCGACACTGCAAACACATACACACACACACACACACACATGCCCTCATGTCACACACAAGGCAGTGATATCTGACAAGTTCTGGTTAACCATTACTGATATCTGTAGCTCTTGTACATCAATACTGAACATCCTTATTCATAGATCTGCTATTCCAGCTTCAGCTGTAGTGTACTCTTGAACTAATTAGACTGTCCATAGAGGTTCTCTGTAGACTTCGTTGTTAGCCATTATCTAGCTAGCAACATGAGATGGTGGGTTAACACGTGCTTCCTCAGTGACGCTGCAAATCACTGCATCTTTTTAAGATGGGCATTGTTGCAGGGCACCTGAGTTCCCAGTTCTGAGCTTGTGACCTGACGGTTGGTCATGACTGGCCAGCGTCACTTTGGGATGAATCTTTTTGTCCATTTGTGCCACTCGAGAACCGAGAAAATCCTTTTTAGTTTAAGACTAGGCTTCATCTGTGTCTGGAAAAGCAGCCTTTGTGGATCTTTTTTGCACTTAAGGCTATACATCCTCCTAGATTTTGATGGTTGATTTAAAGTAGTAGTATTCAATCCCAGTCCTGTAAATTTCCTGCACTGCACGTCTTGTGTTCTCTCTGCTTTTACAATCCTGAATCAATTCTAAAAGGGTTTGGAAATTAGCTAATCAGATGGAAACACAAAACAGTACAGTCTTGGTGAGGGAATTGAATACCACTGCAAGAGCATTCCCTGTGCTCGTGTTTCTTGTATTTAGCATTTGGTTTTATACCTTACAGGTATGCAACTCCTCTCCACACAAACAAGCTCATCCTGAGTGGTTTTGTGCAGGGGGAACTTAAGTCCTCAGATTGAGGAATGTTACTTTTTCTGTCTTCTTTTTTTGTTTTTTTTAATAATTCATTTTTTAATGACTTTGTTAGTCTGTGCTGCTCCTAGCCCTGGACAAAAAGACTGCTGTTGTGTACCTCTAGGATGTGTTTGGGTGAGCCTACAGTGAAAAATGCTGTCTTAAACATTTTTCATTTCCCTTGTGGATGGTGACCCCTGCTGGTCAGGCATTGCTCTCAGTGACAGTTGGTTTTCAGTCTTGGTAGCAACTAATGTTTGCACACACAAACATGTTTGTCTCTTTCAAGTAGTCCTCTGTTTTCTGCAGCCAGTAGTCTAGATACCAAGAACTCTTTAGGTCTTTAGGTAATGTAGATGAGACTTGTGGCTTTGCTTGCACATTGTTATTTAAGGGAGACTGACAAGTTACCACAAACTTTGTTTAAAGCATTTGTCATTTTAACCTGAGAACATAGTAAAGCCAAAATCGGAAATTTCAAAGCTGTTGAAATGATCTGTTTTTGTATGTTACCATTCATTTTCAGAGGTAATGCCTTTTATAACTTGTTTTAACATGGCTTTTCTGATATTTACAGAAAATAGAATTATACTTGATTTGCTTAGATCAGTTAAACCCGTGGCATTGAACGTTGTAGGAATGGAAAGTGGCAAACACGACCCCACCCAGTAGCGTTTCAGAGTTCTGTGCTGGGGCTGCCAGATTGTGGCTTTGCAGTTCCTGATTGTGGCTTTAACCCTGCTTATAACAAGTTAATAACAGACCTGTTTACTTCAGCAGGAAGAGTTAGACCACTGCAGTGTAAAAGAGTATCTAATGAAGGCTGATTAAGTGTATGTACATTTTCAGTTTAGCATTTCAGTGTTGAACTGTTGCTTGTTTGCATCTAAAATATCAGTTTCCTTAATCAGCAACACTAAATGCTTACGTCTTTCCCAGCAATTCAACCAAATATGATGGATGAAAGAAGTTCAGGTTGTATATCTCTGTGAACTGAGCTGTTGTGTGTGTGGAGGGGGTTCACTCAGAAGACCTTTTTGTTTGAAGGGCTTCTTTGCCTTAGGAGAGTGTATGTGAAAACACAGATTTGAATATTGTTTATTGTACTGTGTGAGTGTGGCCTTCACTGAATCCTAACACCCCGTGGTAAAAACTGAAGTTGGGTTCCCATGCTTTGAACATTTCATTTTCTACATCACTCAAAGGTTTATTTGTAACATTTGTTTTATATGACAAAATGTGAAAAAAGTGAAACACAAAATATTTATAATTTTTGTAAAGAAAAGAATGTAAAAATGAACAAAAATGAAGTTATTTTTATTATGTTCGTTAAACCATGTTTGTCAAATTGAAATATATGGTCAGCTCTTGATTTTTTTTGTGTTCACTACAACAGCAAAGATCAATCAATATTAAACTCATTTTGAATACAGTGGTCTTTCATAGTGCCTGATTCTTTGGAATTACTGGAACTTAAAATTCAGGTTGTCTTATGTCATTTTATGACTTACAGTAGTTTGGACAGGAGAGAATATCAGGGAATAAAGTTGAGTAAATGTAGAAATAACTTATCCAAAACCCTTTTTTATTATAGTACTTTTATTAAAATGTACTTAAGTATCAAAACTAGAAGTTACTGCTTTATGTGTAACCCATAAAATAAACAAAGGAATTCTTGAAAAGTCTGAAGTGTAGACTAAGCTATTTTTTCTATCCAAAAATAAATAAGTACATCACAATATACTTGAGCAACAACAAATAACAGTTTACTGTCATGTCATGGAAAACCAAATTTGTATTATTATTTTTTTTAATAAAATAAGTAAATGTATGTAAAATGTACCCAGTCCATCAGGTCTAGTTTTGCAAAAACCCATTTTGAAATAATTGCTTTAATAATGTCACATTTACATACAGTACTGTTGAAAAGTCTTTTTTCTGAGCAAAATAAACATTTACTGCACAAAAACAGCTTTTTAGGTCAAAATTTCTTTGCACAGTACTGTATATACACTCATATAGCCTACAGCAGTTTAGCTCTGCTGAAGTTACAAGGAATGTTTTAGCCTTGGACTACTTTTTGAATGAGGTACAATACAGGGCAGGCCAATCAGAACAGAGCTCATTTATTTAAACAAGTCCTAAAGGATCAGTAACAAACAGGGAAAATGAGAGGTTTGAAAATGGTGATGCAAAATGTATTATGACAGTTTTTTACAGAAAACTACACAAATGTCATAAGTGGACCTCAGGTAGACAAATACAAGACAAATACAAGACATCTGCCCTTGATAGATGCACTGTTCATGAACTCACCAAAACAAGTTGGTAGGTATTTGTGGCAAAGTCAAAATATTTTGAAGTCTATTTTAAACCAGACATGTGCATAATCATGTAAAATAAATAAATAATTAAAAATCTACATCTAAATAAGCAAAATTAATACTAAAGTTGCAGCATGATAAGCATTCATCAGGACTCACAGAGGGTCCTATCTGTATGTCTGCAAGTATGGCAGAAATTCATTTAATTAAAAAACAAAAAACTTTAAAAAGTGATGATCATAATAATAATAATAATAGTAATAATAATAATAACAACAACAACAAGAATAATAATAGACATTTTCTAAATAAATAACCATATCAATATGTTCTTAAATGTGTCATTTTGTATCCCTTCATATTTCCAGTATGATTCAAACACTTCTGAAATATTAAAATCCTCCAAATACTCTAGTGGTACCTCCTCCAGCGTTCTTTCTCTGCAAAATGACAGATCACACATTACACTCATTATAAACAACCTGGGAATTTGGAAAACAATCAATGACTGATCTGTCAATTTGACTTACTGAGATGGGGATAACTCCATATGTAACTTAGCACACAGTAACCAGCAATCAGCATCGTAATTCCACCAATTCCTCCTTTCTGCACGTCAATGTACTTCCTGTAATACCACTGCCAACCTGACCACACCAAAGATGAAAGAACACAGAAATAGTCATCAGAACTGGAACAGGAGTTTAGAAAACTCTACAATTAAACAAGCTTTAAAGTACTTAAAATGTCTAGTATGAATGTTTGGACATTTTCAGGCACAATTCCAGTTGTGGGAGTCAGAAGGTCAGAGTCCTGAAGAGCTCCTGCTCCAACACACTTAATTCAAGTTTTCAGCTACAAAGCCATTACAGAGCCATTCTTAAACTGAATCAAGTATCTTTCAGCTGGGAAAACACTAAACTGTGCAGCACTCTGACACTCAGGACTGAGAGTGTGCACCTTTGTCCTAACATTTGATATTAAAGGACATTTTTTCATACATTAACATATGTGAACTAGACAAATACCTCTGCTCAACATGGTCACAGCCTCTCTGGGTGATTTTGGTGTCCGAGTGCCAAGCCAGGCAGCAAGCTCGCCGAGTCTTACATCTCCTAGTCTCTGCTCTGTCCCAGGACCTGTAGATAAAGAATCTATAAGTGAGAGTTTAATCACAGTATGCCTTCTACTACACTTATTCTGTATACATATTGAGAAGATCGCTTGTGAGAAAAAGAGAATTGGGACTGCTGGGCAGCTGCAAAAATAAAAGAAGTGAATTCAATTAAAGAGGTTCATCAGTTGATTAATCAGTCAGTTTTAGAGATAATGAATCCTTACTTCAAAGATTCTTTACAACCAAGCTGAAGGATGTGTAACCCTATCATTTAATCCTAGTCAATCAAGAATGTGTATAATTGATAGATTTAGGGTGACCTGATGTAAATATGAAGTAATGATACTTTGCCTTACTAAGATACTAAGATTTGCCTTAATTAATTGAGTGTTTTATAATAATGTTCTGTAATACAGCAGGTATAACAATAAAACAGACTATTCAGTTTCACTAATCCGCTAATTTGGGAGTCTTTTTTCAGTTCTCTATATTTTAGATATTGAGTTTTTATGCTAGGATAAAGTTATAAACTTGTACTACATATGATATTTTACCTTGACTTTGTGGAGGAGACCTTGAGGATTCACACTTTGTCCATAAATCTTCATTAGAGGACATTTCTGAGTTCCTGAATGGTGAGAATAGTGTTCCATCATAACCTGTTGCCATCTCAGGTGTCCGTTTCATGATAGTCTTGCTTTGTAATTCTGAAGTAAGCATGTCTTCAGCAGGCCTTTGGACTGAAGTCTGGGCAGATGCAAGCAAGGGTGCAGAGGATGCCTTTGTAACAGCATTCTGATTATTTTCTATATGAGTCTTGTGTACAAAGACTGAAGTATTTTCACATTTAGAAATAGATGCTTCATGTGTTTCTGCTGTGGGGGGTAACAATGACACAATACCAGATCTCCTGGCATAAAGTCCATGTTTAATGTGGTCCCACACACAAGTCTTGGATTGAAAGAAACTGAAATCTGCCTGCTCTTTTACTGTTGGAGTTGATGCATGATCTTTGGTCAAAGCCTTTGGGCTATTTTGTATTTCTTCCAAAATATTTCCTTTTGCTTTACAGTTTGGCATACTTCTCTCAGCCTGGGAGCCTGTGGTCCATGTAACATGCAAAAGGTCAGTGGCAGTGAACTTCTTGGTGGTTACTAGTGAGGTCAGTTTGGTCCCTGTAAGCGTTTTCTGGTTTTGGCCTTCCGTCTGAGGTGTTTCTTTAACTTGGCCTTGCAATGTTTCAGATAAGCAGTTATCCTTCTCCTGTTGAGAGTCTGAGATCAATTTGCTTCCCTTCTGTGTTAAAAGTATAGCTTGTTTAGCCATCTCTTGTTCTCTTTTTGCAAGCCACTTGCTTTTGGGATTCACAGTGGCTGGGTTCCTTTGCTCTGCTGACAGGACTTTGGCCACAGTGAGCTCATCCATATTTACCTTTTCAGCTGTCATACTGACCTTCGGTTTTGCCAAGCTTTTTGAGATAGACTGAAAGGATGAGTCATTCAGCCTCTTGTCAAAGCCGTTTACTTTTTTTTTCTTTTCTTTTGGAGTTGTGTCATTAGGAGTAGTAGTGAGTAATTCTTCAGGGGCTTTATTGTTTTTGGTGGTCTCAGAACCAGGAGACATTTTACAGTGAGGGAGGTGAGATTTCAGCCTTTTGAATGGTTTTCCACAATATGGACATGGCTCTGCAAGAGGATTAAAGAATGACAGCTTAATTCAGATTATGTAACAAAAAATAATTGGATATTTCCAAATAGAAACTACCAACAAAAAAGGTGTTTTCTGTATTCAAAGCACAATTTTGTAAGGAATGTTTCTTGGAGTTATTAATTAAATTCTCTTGCAGTATAGAAACAACTTAAAGGGGAACGCCACCATTTTTTCTAAATGTATGCATGATTAAATGGTTAACATTTCAACAAAATCATTCTGAATGGTTTGGTGTGAAATGCTCTGTTCTAGAGAAACTTATTGAGTCAGAATTGTTCACAGTGGTGGTGATAGGAACCAGATGTCTGAGGAGTTTAATGCTTCTGGTATTGTGGTAATGAATACATTGCCTAATCTCTGAGACATTGTCTTACAGCAGTTTTGTGATCAAGTGTTGGTCTAAAACATAGTTTAATCAATTTCTTTTAATCCACTCATGGTGGGTGGACACATGAAGACAAAATAGCCCCCAAAGAAATTTTTTTTTCAGATTCACCACTGTTTTACTATCATTACATTAAAAACACATGTAGGTTCACTGGTGGTCTATATTTGCATTGTAGACATCAGGACTCCTGGTTTCAATCTCCACTGCTGTAAAGAAATATGAGTTGGTAGGTTTCTCTGCAAATGAACCAGTTCACATCAAACCAATGTGAATGATTTCATAACCACTGAATTATACAGAAATTGTGAAAATCTGTGTAATTCCCTTTTAAGTCCCTGACTCTACTGGATCAAACTTAGGGGTGCGCAGTGACAATATTTATTGTTAACATGATTAAGTATTTTACATTACATCAATCAAGTCATAATTACAAAAACGAGCATAATTAGGTGTGTTTAAGTGAATTTAGTGCAGTGCATTATGTGAAACGTTGGACAAAAACACTGTATTCGTAGTTTTTGGTAATATGTTTTAAAATGTGGCACTGTTGGTTTTTTCTTTTCTGTTCCAACTTTGCGAAAAAATAAATATTATGATCCATATTATGTGTCGTGAAAAGTAACAGAAAAAGAATCGTGATATTATATTTCTGGTATATCGCCCAACTACTTTGGACTTATCTTAACTTACGTAAGGTACTCACCTAAGCTCATCTTGAAATCTTCTCTAAATTTTGATGAAACAGTTTGTGCAGTCTTAAATTCAAAATAACTTTACTGAAATTCGCTACATCCTCTCTGGTGCGAGGCTGCACAGCCAAACTTCTGCCATGTGTATGTTTTTGCGAAGACATTTGAAAGACCCATTTGGCTGTACTGACAGTGCCTGCGTATAAATAATAAAGTTAAAACTTTTTATTTAAAAGGTATTGTTGGAGTGCAGAAAATGTACACATTCTTCCATAGCCAATGTGTGAGAGCAGGTTAAAACTGAAAGCAGATGACAGGCTGCGTTTGATAGAGTCGCCTGATAGAGTTACGTCATTCACCATCGCAGCTGAAACGGCTGAAACGTCACGTAAACAGCAGCAGATGGAAAAGGGTTCCTGCTAACTTAATACAGTCCAGTGTAGAGAAAATGTTGGCTGTCAGGAGTGAGTTACTCAAGCAACCCGCGTCTGAGACGTTCAATTGAGTGGTAGCTATTATCTTTTTTTATGGCCAGCTAATGTGGCAGTGCTTACCTAATTAAATTTTTTGGAGTGTTAAAAGAATGAGTAACATAGCCGCCAGGCAGTGGGCTGTACCACACAGAGAACTGTACAGGCTAGCCACTAAGCTAACTTGACCTGTTAGATAATTAATTACACATTTAGCACTGACTGTGTCTGAGACGTCAGTATGTTAGCTACAGCTGCATCAGACTTAGGACGAACAGGTCATTAATGTCGGGTAACAGCGACCGTGTTTGTGCTAGCTAACCTAGCTAGCTAACCTAGCTAGCTAAGTTAGTAGGTAGGTGAGCGTGTGGCTAACTGGATAGCCCGCCGGACCACAGAGCGTAGAGTCTGTATAAATATCTTGCGCTGTCTCCTTAGTTCTGTGACCATCTATATCTGTCTCAACATCTTACAGCTGAAACTGTTCTGAATGTTATCATTGTTCAGGATGAAGGTATTGGGTGTAGCATGAATGTCCACACAGCAGGACAGCTAAGCCTCAGAGATTTGGTGTAATGCTGACTGTGTGTCGTTAGATGTCTAACTGTTTGAGGGAAAACTGAGAAAAGCTGTTGGAGCCTGGTGGATCCACTAGAAGACGCACGAGTCTGAGCACAGAGTCTCCCTCCCTTCCCACTGTCTGCCTACCAAATGCACAGCTTCCCGATGCTGACAGAAAGCAGGTAGGATTTCTCAGCAGTATTTTTTTTAATCCTCTTTGTCTAAATATGTTCTGTTTTAGCCTCTTTCCCATGAGGCATATAGGACATGTTACACTGGCATTGTACATATTGTGTGAATACGACGGCCAGCCCTCCGAGAGCTATTTTTAGATTTTCAGCCAAGTGAAAGGAGAGCTCGGCTTGGCCTCTTATAAAGGATGAATTGTAAATAACAATGTCAAAGAATATTCTTTGCAGTTGCGACTGACACTGAATTATTGACTACTCATGTCGATATGATCCTATGTTGAAGTAGCTGAGTCATAATTTTGCAGTGAACACTGATAACTAATGACCATGAACTACCTTATGTTGCTCTATTGCTGAAGGAATGAACAACCTTAGCACTTATTAAAGCAGCACATAGCAGCAGCAGTTTACTATTAATCCATACACGGTTAAAGCTGCATAATGTCCTCAACCAGGCTAAACACCATAACATGGCCTATCATGGTGAATTATTCCAGTCATGTGTATAAGACAAACTGGTGCAACTGACCACAGAAAGTAACCTGTCATCCTCTCATCTCAACAGAAAACGGCGTCACAGCTGTGATGTCGAGGATGTACAACATCTGCCCCAGGCTAAGCGGCTGGTAAGCCAGCCTTTCCTCCCTGAATTGGGCCGTGATGTTTGGGACTCTGAGGTGAGGATGTTGATCAGTGTCCTCGGTTTAATCAGTATTTTTAAATGATGCAATGCAGATGACCATTGGTCAGATATCTGAAGGACTTCATTTGTTTCTGCTCTTTACACCAGTCTTCCAGCAGTGACAGCAGTGGCATTAGCAGTTCGGAGAGTCTGGCAGGAACCAGTTCCATCAGCCAGTCTACAGACCAAAAGGGAAAATGCAACCTAAAGGATTCCTGTGGCTCCAGCAGCTCTAGCACTTGTGCTCACCTAGTTGAAGAGTCTGCCTTCTCCTTGAGTGAATGTGATTCCTCTTACAGTCATATCAACCGTATCCTTAGAGAGGCCCACTTCAGCAGCCTGCAAACTCGTGGCCAGCCAGGTCCAACATGACCATCCCTGGCTCTTTTAACACCCAGTTACCCAAAGGCAAAAAGGGCAGTGCATTGGGAACTTTGGTCACTGTATATCTCCAGCTGTGGCACAACATGAGGCTCTCTTTTCTCACAGTTTCTTTGGCTTGATTTTGTTCTTGTCCACTAGCACATTTCCAATTCCATTACTTGCGTGGAGTTTTGTTGTTCTTGTGTTTATCATGATCTCCACTTGGGTGCTACAGTACAAAAAGAAACCTCAAATGGCACTTAATGTTATGTGCTTGTGATATGATCTTACCTTATTCCTTTTACTCAATCAGGCAGATATACATGGTGCTATACACTAAATGATTCAGTAAAAGGTCATGTTTTCTTAAATGATAGGGTTGCATAAGGCTGTTTTTGTTGATGAAGATCAATGAGTAGAAAGCCAGGTGTGGGAAGGGGTGGCGTATGTGGAGAAATGATGCATATATATTTTTTACCCTTTTTGTACTACAGACCTCTGGGAGCAGGTAGTAAGTGTACCTAAGCACATGTGAGTATTCCTGCAGTCTTTCTGTAGTTGATTGCGGAATCACTCCACAATAATAATTGCCTGTTGTAATCTGTTCACAGACGATCTGAAGGATAATTGTGTTGCCATAGTTTCTACTGGTCTTTTGACTCTTTCAGGAAGCTTTTGGAGCTCAATTATGTCTTGCATATTAAAAACTCAGGCTTTGGGATTTCCTTCATGTGTGCCATGAAGCCAAACTGATGGCAAGCTGTTAGTTCTAGTAAAGACCTGTGTCGAACAAGTATGTGGTTTAGGTTTCTAATTGTAAATAGTTGAATAGTACAAGCTATTATTTTGCTTTATCTTAGCATTTGGATGTACAAGCTAGCACCACACTGTAAATGTAGTGCAGTGGGATTATTGGATTGTGAATATCTTGAAATACATGTTAGACTCAGGTCTGTTTTGAAGTACTTTTTGTGAGGAGGTCTTAGCAAGGAAGAATTCAGAGACTACTTTTGCACAGTGAAAGTTTGAAAACTGAGGTGCTCATAGTTTAATTTTGACCCATAGAATAACTTGAAGAGCCTTAAGTGAAACATGTCTTACTAAGGTCACTGGGTTCCCTGTAATAATAGGACTCGCAAATCCCCTAGGAACAGACCATGGAAACGTTCAGCCCTAAAATTAGCCTTCTTAACATAGCACCCAGGGCTCCAGTAACACCATCAGTCATGAAAAGCGTGGGATGGTTTTAGTACCTACAGCTTTACATGTTCATGAATACTTGGCTTTAGCTACATATATACATTGGCTATTTTTGTGATGTAATATATGCTTTTTATGTGTTTGACTGATATGCAGTGGCCTGCAATTTGTTTAAAATGACTCATTCACAGAAAATAATTTTCAGACAATGCTTGCAATTTCTGACCAACCCGAGCTCCACTAACATTTAGCACGATTACGGTGTGAGTAAAATGTATTTGACCTGAGGCCATAATCGAGTGTCCAGGCAAAATATTTGTGTGAGCGTCTGTGCTTGTATATGAAGGGCACTGATACAGCCCTTTACTCGTCATGCACTATTCTGAAACACTGTGGTTTGTCCATGTGAAAGACTATCAGTTTTTGAGGATAATCATTACAATTTCTTTCATGTTTTGTATGTAGAATTGTACATACAACATATAGCTAGCACATTTACAAATTTTGAATCATTGTTATTTTATGAAATGGTCCTCTAACAATACTGAAAATAAATGTTTTTTTAAGTATCTTTTTATTGTGTTGGTTTGTAGATCCATACATAAAATGCAGAAATTGGAGTAATAGAGCAGATATTCTGTTAGAACCTGCATTTGTTGTTACATGGCTTTTGTCACACATCCATGACATACAAATGTTTAATCAACTAAATGGCATAATTTGCAAAGACATACGTAGTTAACTAATACTTCAGGACCAGTTTTCATGAAGCTTTTCAAAGTAGGAGCACTGATCTAGGATCTATTCCTGTCAGTAAAGTCATAGTAAATAAAAGAGGAACCTGATCCTAAATCAGCACTTTCTTAGAATCTTTGTGAATACAAGCCCTGAGATTTGGTGCCACAAAAAAAAAATAAATAAATAAATCAACAAACAAAAACCCACATCTATACTGTAAATGCTTAAAGTGAATTCCATCCATTTTTCAAATTTCTGCGTAAGTCAATTGCTGAGATGTAAACAAAGTTATTCAGAGTGGTTTAATGTGAACAGCTGCATTGTAGAGAAACGTGCTGGCTCTGGTTTTGTTATAGTGGAAGTCTACAACAAAAATATAGCCATTTTATTTAATATCCAAAAACGACCAGTGAACCTACATCTTCTGAATGTTGATTAAGCTTCTCAAAAAGTTCTCAAAACTACTGTAAAACAATGTCAGCCATCAGGCAGCATATTCACAATAGCGGACATCTGGTTCATATCACCACTGCTGTGAGCAGTTCTCGCTAAGTTTCATATCAAACCTCTCTGACAGACTCTGTATATCTTTACTATTTAGTTATGAAGATGTTTAAAGAAATCAGTGGAATTCCCTTTAAAAGTGTTAATGCTTGTGTTTGTTATTTGATCATATAAGATTGGAAGACACAGGTGCTTCTGAAGATTAACTCCATAGTGCAAAATCCAAACGTAACACTAATTATATGAATCCTGAGGTATCTCTGTCTTAGCCTTCAAAGTAAAACACTCAAGTACTTAATTAGTTTTTGTTCATAATTAATACACGAAGAGACCAGACAGTGATGTGAGGAATTGGGTGTACAACTGCACCAAAGTGTATAAAGACACCTTTAAACCAATGCCTTTCTTCATGTGCTGGAGAAATATGGATGATTTAGAACTTTTCATATAATCCCAGGAAAGTTATGAAGCAAACCTGGGCTAATTAGGGCAGAACTCGCAGCACACATGAGACCTTCTGAACACTTCAACCACATACACTGCACCACAGTTAAGTAACAGGATTCTGAAGTCAGGTAGATTAGCTGTAGATGTAGATTAGCAACTCCAGGCAGTGAAATTTTCCAGCTGTTCTGCTTTTTTAACTCTTATTGTTCTGCAAATGGCCAAAACAGAATTTCTGGGTGTATGTGTAATTTGTAGGACAGCATTATGTCTCCATGTGAAAACTTTGTAATTTGGACAATGTACTACATAATTCTGATGTCAAACTGTAAACAGAATCATTATACTCTTGTCAAGCTCAGTCCCTGGTTGTAAACCACAGCAGCATTCAAATACACATAAAGAGTGTAAGTAAGTGTTAATTGCATTTTTGCACCCAACATGCACTAATGTCTCTGGTGCACTTTCTGGAAATTGCAAGCTTGTTCATTTACATTTTTTCAGAATTAGTGATGGGACCACTGTGAAAGAAGAACAAAAAAAAACTACCACTGTAGGCTGGGTTCTAGAGAATTGAGGTGTTTGGAATTCAGAGGTTTTGTTTAGGTTCATGTCATTAAATAATATTGCACCCTTTATCATGGTGTTCTTCTGTCAGACGCTCAGAGGTTGAGGAAGGAGAAGGCAGATACTTGTCCAGTGCTGTGCTGGAGTTCACTGCTAGAGGAATCTGAAGATTTTTCTGTCCTTCTCTTCACAGCCAAGTCCGTATAGCCTTCTGCCCCTGTCTGGCTATCTTGTTCCACAGGAACAGGCTCAACCAGACACACGGGTTTCCCTCTGTTTACCAGCTCCATGCCACTAAACAGTGACAGTGTGGGATGGTGTCTGAGGGGCTCGGGGGCCTCACAAGGCTCTCTGGGTCTGTCCCTGTCCTCATGAATAGCCTGCTGGTTCTCTGCTTTTTCCTCTAACTGTGCTCCATGAGCAGATTCTTCAGCAACACTATCAGCCTTCTCTTGCTCCAGGCCAAGTCTAGAAGAGAGAGCCTGTGGGCAATGTGTGGATGAAATGCCTGATGGTGCTACAGCATCCAATGGTGTTGGCAGAAGGGGGCTGGCGAGGGTGGAATCTAATGGCTGCCCTGAGAGTGAAGGGCTGGATGATTCTGGACAGACCATAATGTCACTCTTTGTCACTGGCGTTGGACTGCCCAGTAGAGCTTCAAACTGCCTAAGGAGCTATTGGAAGACACAAAACATCCACATCTCAATTTTATTGTCATGCTTGACTGTAAACAGCTGTCACTGAAGACACAAAGACACATACTCCCTTGTGTATACTTTACAGTACCTTGGTTGCTTTGTTTGCTACAGGTCCTGCTGCTCCCTCGCTCAGCTGGGCTAGGGGCTTGTGTGTGACACAGAAGATCTGGTCCAGAGAGAGAAGATCTGTAGACATCAGGCAGGCAAGGCCACATAGTGCCCTCTGTAGAGAAAAGATAGAAGTGATCACAGTTGCTTTTTCCAACAACATCCGAACTGGCAGTCACATACAGTAGAATGGGGTCACAGACCAGCTCAGATCTCATTGCTCAAATGCAGCTATTAAACCGCCTAAAGTTAAACCAGTTGTTTTTGAGCAGGGAAATCACAAAACGTATTGGACAAAGGCCCTCCAGGACCAGAGCTGGAAACCCCTGTAGTACAAGATGGTGTGCTATGAGACAATACTGTCATACATGTCAGATCTATTGAACAGGAGTAATAAGAAGAGCTGTACCATCTGGACAGTCTGAGTGGAGTCCTTCAGTTTTTGAGAGAGAAGCTCCACCACAACCTCACAGTTTAAAATAGAACACCTGCGAAGGGAGAAAGACACTAATTAAAGGAACTTCGCTGACCACCAGAAAAATACTAAATAACCTTTCATAACTGTGTCATACATTGTAGCATTGCAGTAATTACACAATTCTCAGCCCCTAATTATCTACTACGTTCCAAACGGTTCTAACACAGCTGCTTACTCTTTGATGAAATGCTGGCTTTCATCTCTAGACAGGAAGATTTTGGAACCGTTAGTCAGATTGCTGATTAGCGCCATCTCCTGGCCACAATCTCCCAACTGCATAGCCTCCACACTGAGAAAAAAAAGGGTAAAAAAGTGAGTACTGTACTCATCTGAGAGGCTTCTGAATGTGACTAATTAAGTCTGAGATAACTGTAACCTGAAAACAGAGCTAAGAATGTTTTATTTAAATGTCATCAAGGTGTATTACATGTATTTGAAAGGGAAATGTTTTCAGTATTCCTTCAACTCTTTATGGTAATTACAGAAATGAGCAATTAAGGAAAACTATCCAAGAATGGTAACATGACTACTGATTAAAGAATTTGCATGATTTCACTGTTAAATTAAAGCTCTGGCTAGATTTAATCTATTAGCAATATTTATTAACTTTTTAGGCAAAATATTAATTCAAAGTACATTGCAAATAACTGCCTATGTGATAATGTTCACACTGAAATTCCTCCCCTATTCACATTGACCTTGCTTTCATGAATCCAGGTGTTTGAGCCGGTAAGTATCACTAAAGACTCTCTATTTACAGAACCCTACAATTATAGTCTAATCAGGATCTTTACCGTTCTGACAACTCTCCACTCTCTCGGCTGGCCCCCGAGTGGCTGCCTGTCTCACCAGATTTGCTGCTGTTCCCCCTGGAAGTGTGGCTTAGTGGCTCAATCTCAAGAGAGGAGTTGTGAGAGGAGCTGTGGCCACTGCTGGTCTCCTCCCAGCCACCACCGGCCTGCCCAGGGCACCTGTGAGAGGCTGAGAAAAGCTAAAGCTAAGGGATTATTCTTCTTATTATTATTATTAACACAACTCTGAACACAGAACATTAATTACTTATATATTTTAAAATAATTAAAGTAGCAAAGCAGATATCTTTTACACAGGTTTGCACTGTTCGAGTTTGTTACCACAGCCAGAGAATCAATGGGTTGGCTTAACCTGTCATGTAGAGGGCTTGTACATCTAGCTTACCTTTGTGGCTGTGTGAGGAAACGTTGTAAGCACATGCTGGCACTGCCACCTCCACAGCAGCAGAGGGCGCAACCACAGCCCGGTAGAGGTTGTCATGGAGACGAATACCAGGCTGCTCTGTGGGTGGAAGGACAGCACTGGCAACCACTTCTGCAGCCTTCTGAATCTTATCCAAAAGAGTTGCTCTGTCTTGGGAAGAGAAAGCAAAGATGCTGTATAAAGTAAAAGAAGTATGCAAAAGCTTGGGGACACTTGGTCAAGTGACATGTAACATTTAATGCCCAGTTAATGTTTATTTGCTGAATGTAGCCTATTGGAAAAAAATAAAACACAAAACATGGCCTGTGCAAAAGTTAGACACATTTTTATTTAGATTTTATCTCTTCCCAATATGTTAACATGAGAAAATAAATAAGTGTTAACTTATTATCACTTACAAAATCAACTGTATTTAAACACATTCATCAGAAACAGCTGCTGCAAAAGGACACAGTGGTCAGCTCCACAATCTTGAGCATGTAAAAATGAGCAAGATTACTGTCTCTTACTGGATGGTTTCCTCCCAGGGCTGTTTCCAAACCCCTGCATTCCTGACCTGAGAGACTCTGATCCCATTCCTGACAAACAGAATGCATTACTAGATGAAATTATGGAAAATGACAGATCAGAAGTCTTTATTTGAACTGCAGTTAATGAGATAGCCAGTCCTTAAATGAACAATCGCACCAAAACAATCAAATGTTCCTTTTTGTTTAACAAAAATGCTTAGGTGCTGCTGACACGTCAAAGATTCCCATTCCTCACTGCTATACCTTAAGAATAATTTATCATTTAAAGAATAAAAATGTCATGTAATTACTAAATAAAATAGCATTGAGGTGTAATATTAACCCCTTAAAATGGCAGGCTTATTATTCATAGTAGTTATTCTTCAGTAACTACTATGATTTACTTGGACACTACTATACAATTAACATACGAGTTCTGTATTATAAGAGTGAGGAACTGAAGTGTGGGCCAACATACAGGTCATCACAGTTTAAAAAGTCAAATGGACAAATTCATCAGTAAATAAATAGTCAGGTGTCAATGATGAGGAAAGTGCATGAACAAACAGACATGCACAGACCATGAGCAATTCACTTTTCATCAAGAATCATGGCAACTTCTTCTTTATTTTTTAAATGAAACGTACCGTATGTGCACAAAACATACTGTTTGTTTTAACTGTAACCACTGGACAAGAAAGGGGCAAATCAGCAATGATTCACATCATGAGCACTTTCTTACCCAAGCTTGGAGTTGCTGCTTTGCATGGAGAGAGTCCAGTGTTTGCAGACAATGTATCATTGAACAGCACACTGGCCAGTTCCTGTATAGAAGGAATTTTAAACCACTTACAAATAGGCAAGAAACATTTCCATTCAATCCTATGTAATCTCACACAAAGACTATTTAGGCTAAACAAGATAAACATAAGTTCGGAATGGAGTTTGATGAACACATTATGTGGACACAGTAAGCAGCTGGGGACATTAGAAATAGCCCCAGTTGATGTGATTTTCCCCCTGTTGCAATTATAAGGACATGATTATTTAAAAAATCAGATATTTGTAAAAGAAAACATGCAGATTTGCCCACCTCTCTCAACAGCTAAAACAGAGCTTATTTCTCACCTGCGCTGAGACACGGACTCTTTGAAAAGGTGCGTTGCCATGAATGGGGTCTGGGGGACCACTGTAAACTGAGAGAGACATAAACACCATCCTTATGCCTGCATTTATAAACTGAAAAAAAAATTTCAAATGATAATACTTTTATTTTTAATCAAGTATATTTGCATTTTAGTCATTAACATTTAGTTACTGCTTTTTATATTTCATTTCATTATGTTATATTGTACAATATAACATAATGAAACAGCTTTCATTATGTTATCTTTGCAACTGGTAACAGTTTTGCAACTGGTCAAACAATCGATATCTGACCTTTAGCACTGTAGAGTGAGACTGCATCAAACTTCAGTTCCAATGCTGACAGATGCTGGACAGACTTAGTACATTAAGAGGTTTTTTGACCAGATACTTTTGTACTGCTTAAACTGTTTCTTGGAAATGTCATTATTTCTATCTTGCCCATATGTAAACAGCATTATTTTTACTCAAAGGAACATTACATGTACATCCTTCTACTGCACATCTGGATTTAGAGATTTGGGACAACAGTTCGTTCTCTTTTTCCTGATGCTGTGAGGTTAGATGCATTTACAAGCTCCTTACCTGTTACTTCTTGGATAAACGTAGCATTTCGCCTCAGCTCTGTGAGAAAGTGAGGAGGACCGTGGCCACATAGATGCAGGAGGATCTTCAGAACCTTGGACAGAGATTAGAGAGCTTGAATATCAAGGTAACTTAAAGAAATAGAACAACTTACATAATCTTTCATCACTTCTATATCACAGGATGTGTATGGGACATAAGCATGAGGTACACCCAGTTTCATTCACCTTCAGTTTCACATGACAGGACTCCACCTGCAAACGCTCCAGGAGGTATTCAAGAAGACACTGACAGCAGCCCACCGACTCGTGTGAAATTTCTGGGATTTTATGTACATTAAGGACTTTGACTGACAACAGTTTTCGTAATCTCTAGACATTAGTGTCAAACTGCTGGAAAATGGATACTGTTAATTTCTTCAAAGAGGTATCCGGGGCAGGGCGCTTCGTCATCTGCAGTCGCCTTCATAAGTGTCGGCACCTGAACAGTCAGAAAAGGCCAGAGCTGGCAGTTAGCAAAAAACTCTCTGGATCCACCTCCATTCAGGAGGCAGATCAGGGTGTACAGCTAACTAAATAAACCTGAAATCTCGACGAGCTGAATAGATGTTTATGTTTCATGCAAGGGAGTTTGCTAACGTTAGCTTACTAGCCAGTTAGCTGCGGCTAAACACACCATGGACATTTTAAGGTAAAATTCAAACGGCCAAGGGCTCAGCTGCCTTTCTACACGGATGACATGAATGATACCTACTTTCTGAAGGAAAGCCAGTCGTTCCATTAACGTAGCCATCTCGTACCGCTGTGGATGAGGCCGCTGCTCTGTGTACCATTGCTGAACGTGACTGGGCGGATGACCGTGCACTTACTGATGTACCGACTCCTCAATGAATCGCTCCTTTGAACCGACTCTTCAGCAAATCGCGAACCGACTTACAACTAAACTGCAATTTAAATGGCAATAGTTAAAACAACTTAGCTAACATCGTAGTGCTTTAGGAAGAGCGTCTTTGGGTTTGCTTACATTTTCTCTCTGTAGGCTTCTTCCTTCTGGTATGTATACAGTGTGTATGATGTCAGGTTGTATGCGGAGAAGAAAAAAATAAAAATAGCCCTGGCTGGACTGATCTTCGCAACCACTATCTTGGTATGAAAACGAACGGTTGACTCGGACACTCAGTTCAGTGAAACAAGCAGTTCGAAGGAATCGTTTGAGTAGATTGAGCCACCGTCACATAAGTCAAATTCTTCACTACACTCGTTCTGCGCGTTTTATTGGTCCGTCGCTTTGACGGAAATATCATCGACAACGAATGAGCGAATAGAATTGAACTGTATGGGCGGAGCACACGCAGGCTCGACCAATCACTGATCAGACCTGAACAGCGGTCACTCCGAGGTGATGGCTGGCGTGCTTTAGTTTGTGGCGAGTGATTTGTGTTTAACAAACTTTCAGATGATTCACAGTTTTAAACTGGATGTCACAGCAGTGAGGCCTGTGGACATTTAAAGCCCTATCGCTCGTCAGCGGTGAAATGTTGGTTGGAACATAATTTTACTTTCTCATTCTCGTCATCTATCTACGGCTAGACGTTAGCAAGTAAGCTAACGTCAGGTAATAACATTGAGTTGTGGTGAGAGTTGAGGCTGTGCAGTCATGTCAGGGACAAACGTTTGGACTCGTAGCCGAGAGAGGATGAGGCGGTTCCCCGACTTGCTTGCCCACTGCTCCACAGAGGTATTTCGAGAAAAAAACGAGACTCAACTAGCTGTCTGTCTAGCTCATAACAGTTAATGAAGAAACATATGGGTGTTTGTTAAGACGAGGCTGACGCTGGATTCCTATTCTGCAGCTTCTTGTTCGGATTTTCCCGTTCCACCTTAAGTAGTGCCGCGGTTACGTTCTGGCGCACGAGGCGCCAGAGTGTAACTGCCGCGCCGTTTTAAGGTGGAACGGGATAATTCAAATAAGAGGCTGACTGCAGTTTCTTATGGTTAAGCCAGAGAACTGTTCCACAGTAAACTGTGGTGTGTTTTGTTCTGTAGGCAGCGGCTTATGGCAAATGTGTGGTCGCCACGACTACAGGCAAGCAGGAGCTGAAGAAGGATTTGTGTGTAAAAGAGTTTGAAGCACTGAAGGCCTGCTTTGTCTCTGCTGTGAGTAATAGCTACTGAACTCTGCAGTGAAATAGCTCTAAAACATTATTTACACCGATCAGCCATAGCATTAAAACCACCTCGTTATTTCTACACTCATTGTCCATTTTATCAGCTCTTTGTAGTTCTACAATTACAGTCTGTGCTCCATCTGTTTCTATTCATACTTTGTTAGCTTTTCCCCCTGTTCTTCAACGGTCAGGGCCACCACAGAGCAGGTATCATTTGGGTAGTGGATCATTCTCAGTACTGCAATGACACTTACGTGGTGGTGGCCTGTTAGCGTGTGTTGCGCTGGTTAAGGTGGATCAGACACAGCAGTGCTGCTGGAGAAACAGATGGACTGCAGTCTGTAATTGTATTGTAATAAATTCACATTAAGGATAAAAATACAAGTATAAAAGTATGCCCCTAAAAGAGTTTTCCCTCATTAGTGGGTGGTGTTTTCCAACATACCATCAAAACTGTATTCTTGTCATTCGTATTCCAAACATAATTAACTTTGAGCTGAATTAGGAGCTCTAACTTAATTTCTTACAAGTAATAATTAACTAAATGTCTGATTATTCACTTGTCTTTGCAGGCAAAGCGGGGTCTGAAGTAAAGGGAGAACTGCAGCCTTACTCTGTATAGTGTATATATACACTAATGTAGGCTGTATAGATATGACCAGTTTCTGTTATGGGACTTTTTTTTTTTTTTCAGCAAAATCAACAGACATTGTATATTTTATACTTAAATAGAAAATGAATGTTTGTTTAACTTATGTTTATATTGTCTTACTGCAAAAAAATAAACTATTTGTATGGCACATCTTTTTTGGTGAACATGAGAAATAATTTTGTCATGAGGTTGACTGCATGATGAGTTTCTGCTCAGCCACAGTAAATTATGGATGAGAAAATCTGACAGTCATACTTTTTAATTTAATAGATTAGGCCATGAAACGGATGAAAGAATTGAACTAACCATAACCAGACTGTTCATTGGTTTTACACTGAGGGGCGGTGGGCGTAGCTAGATGGATGTAGGGGCCGAAACAGGCAGGATGAGTGATGAGGTGTGTTACGGCTCTAAGGGTGGCACAGTCTAGCCTTAATTGCTGCACTTGGATCTGTTTTTAATGCATACATTAAAAGACAAAGCTTTGAAGAACTGGTCCTAGCCTAGTCAGAACAAGAGATGGACATAAAAAGGCTAGCTGATTAATGTTTTGCCATGGGTTTCATGTCACTGGCACCCCAAAAGCTTATGTGCTCCAGCTTGCCACATATGGTAATGCAAGCTGCAGCAGTATTATTGACGCCCTGCTGGAGAACTCACACCCTTGTTAGCCAGATGTTAATTGATGGAGTGACCATAAAGGCAAGTCAGTAATGACTTGGGATCAACATACAGTCCAAACAGCCAATTAGAGAATGGGCAACAGGCTTGAGTATATAAACATTTGCAGCCAGGAATTGGGCTAAACTCTGCTTAATCTATAGAAAAACATGTTATGGAAATTCTACCTAACCTCACTCTGCTCTGGCTGAATCACTGTTTGAGGCTTGTCTTCATGTGGTGGTGAATCACATATTTTCAGTGGTGTACAAGGTGTTAATTAAAAGAGTCTGGCCCTGTGTAAGTGCTTGTGTTCTGCCAAACCTGGCCTTTAGCCTTAATGTTAGATGGGAACTTTTGAATTTCTTTGAGTATATGCTGCACTTGGCAATAATGTATTGCTACAGTCTTGATTATTAATGCGCGATTATCAGAGTTCAAAAACCTTTCATACTGTTTTAGCCAAACTCCACAACAGCAGTGATGTTACATGTAAAACGCTGTTTTGGTAAATTTGTTTTTGTAATTGTCTGCAAACAAGTTACACACACAAATACTGTTATCATTTAACTTTTTTACATTTACTTGCCTAGATTCTAATATTTGTTGTACTGCAGTTATCTAAGATCTAACTCGACACTCTTAAAAATGGTTCTTCAAGGGTTTTTTAGTAAAGAAAATGGTTCTATATAGAACCGTGAACACTCAAAGAACCCTTTGCATGATGTGCTGTAGATGGTTCTATATAGAACCTTTTTGAAAAGGGTTCTATTGTTACAGGTTTGACAGTAACAATAGAAGAACCCTTTTCAAAAAGGTTCTATATAGAACCATCTATAGCACATCATGCAAAGGGTTCTTTGAGTGTTCAAGAAGGTTCTATATAGAACCATCTACAACACATTCTTTGTCAATCTGAAGAACGCTTTCACGATGCAAAGAACTCTTAATCGTCCGAAGGGATCTTTGAGTGATCATGGTTCTATGTAGAACTATTTTCATTACTAAAGAACCCTTGAAGAACCATCTTTTTTTAAGTGTGTACAGATAATGTTAGGACACTAAAGAATGATTCTTGGACAGTGAGTTTGTTCCAGTACACATCCTTTGAATCAATATACTTCAGAGTTATGTTTCAAAGGAAAACCTACAAATAATTGGATGGGTGACTTGCATGATTTTAGTACTGTGTAACATTTGTTGAGGGGGGAATTGCTACAGTAATCTGGGGCCGGATTCACAAACGCTTTCTTAAGAAAAAACTTGTGAAGGTTCTTGAGACAAACACTAAGAAGTTTGTAGGAATGTTCCTAAGTGCAATTCTTGAAAAAAATGTTCTCAAATATTCTCTTAGGATAATCAGTTCCTTAAGATTTTCTTAGGAAAATCTTCATTTACTTATGCATTCTATGGTGCATTTTACAGCTTAACATAAATGCAGCGAAATACATTGTTAATTCTTTTAACTGTTATTTCCATTATTTAATCCACTCAGAGCAGCAAAATGAAGGAAATACATCAAACTGCATGTTTAAAATATAGCAAACGAACTAGAGGAAAAAAATCATTCCTGCAAAATACGATAGTCTATTGTAAGGTTGAGATCACATTTAAGAACAATGTTTTCAATAATACCACTTGTTCTTAGAATTATTCTTAAGAAAATAGAGTTCTTAAGAAGTTATTTGAAGAATAGCAATTTTTCATAACTTTTTTCTTAAGAATGAAATTAACACATTTAAGATTTTCAGCAAACAATTCAGAGAAAAGCAATTACATTTCTCTAGTTTTGCTATTCAGTTGAAGGCAGCATTATAATACATGTAGAGTATATGATTAAGAACTCCAAGCATGAGTTATTTACACAGAACTTTATTCCTGAAACACGTGGGATGTGGTAAACAATATTTCCACTCGAAGGTTGCTTGAGTGAAAAATGTCATTTATATCCTCCACAAAACAAAAGTCTTGCTTAGTCGAGCATCCAAACACATGCTGTCCTTATCAAAACTCCTGCAGGTATCTAAAAGATCAGGTTTGATAAATAGACAACGGGTAGAAGAGTTAAAACAGAGTGACTGAAGCAGACTAAACAAAAATACTCGCATTTAAATCACACTGGGGTCACTCAGAGTACACTCAGTGAAGGAATAAAACCACAAGTTATAGGAGGCATAGCCTGGAGGAGCAAGAACACTCAGTGTGGGTGTGACAGACCCACAAGGCACTGGGAACATGAAACATTTGTAGATAAGAACAAGGAATGTAGAACCAGACCATGAAATATACTGCACACTTTTTGAGCACTTCTGATTAAACCCAAACAAAATGGAAATTGTATTTGTTAAAATGGTCCAATTTCAACCTCTGCCTATAGAAAAAAAGTCCTCACAGTATCTTTCAGGTCTTGTGAACAAAAAACACCAACACAGGAAAAAATACATTTTGTAATAAGAAACAAACTTAAACATCAAATGACAAACTCTGTTCAGCAAGAATAAAGATACACTAGCTTTATATTTGTTGGACATTTACATTACAATATTTATAACTAGCAAAATAACTACTGACAGTTGGGAAAGCTGATTTGTACTGAGCACAGCCATCCTGAAAAGGAGAAAAATAAATTATAAAACATTCAGGTCTACAAAAATAGAATTTCATAAAACTTCACTGACATTTTTTTGTAATGTAACATTTATGTTTGTATAACCTTCTATTAAAGGAACATTCGCAAAGTGCTCCAAGCATTTGAAAACAATTTTATTCAAGCTGTGTAATTAAGACCCAGGCACCTCATGTAGGCTGATCTCCTTTAAAGTTATAAGCCCTCATCTGTGTGCACATTAATGTCCATAATGTTGGAGCCACAATTGAACGGAGTGCTGTAAGAGGCAGCATATGAGGAAACCCCTTTACTTTTTGTTTTGCAGCCTTCCAAATACTGCCTTTCACATGACTCTTAGGTTCAAAGCAAGCTCACCATCTCCACAAAACAACTTACTTAAACAGGGTAAAGCTGGCAACTTAGGTGTTTTTACAGTGTTAGGTCCAGTAATCAAATGTATATGGATTATAAACAGTCAACTCCAGCACTCAGTTATATCTCACTTCAGAGAATGTTTTACATACATTTGTAACAAGTAACAAGTCCTGACCTCATATAAATAATGCAACAATGATGGATTCAAATCTTTGGAGGAAATAAAGGCAACTGGATGGAATATACTACTGAACATACATCCCAACCTTTACAGTAAGAGTGTAATAATGTTCCCGCAACCACTGGGCTGTTCTAGGACATGACTTAGTCTAGTGCAGAACGTCTGCTGCACAGAAGCAGAAGAAAGCATAGGTGTATATGTACTGGATGCTTTTGCCGACAGCTACAAAGCCTAGTTGAGATGGTGGTAGATGTTCTTAAAATTTCTCATGTGTCAAAGTGACCCTCTACCACTAAATGTAAAACTAAGCATGTTTATCAGAAGGTTTGCTGAAATGCTTAGTTTATGACTCTCATCTGACCCCAAGCTGCTGGATATCTCTGTGATTCATTCCTCTTTCATATCCAAAGTCTCTTAACTTCAAGACAATGTGACCCAAGGTTATTATTTAGGATGAACGTAGAGTATACAAGTACCAAGAACTGGTATATAATCAGCAATGTCAAAAGTATCAAAACACAGGCCCTGACACAAATACCCACTTGGTGTCATTTACCATAAAAATGTTGTTTTGGAAAAACACAGATTTGTTACTCCACAAAAGATAATAGACCTCTGTCTAGTCAGAGTCATGCCTGTATTAGGAACACTGAGTCAAGGCATCTTGTGGTAAAGAAATATGTTCAAAACCTGATACCTCTTGTCTCATGTACAGCTCCCACTTAATGGTTGTGTGGGGTATTTTTTTGAGAGGTTGCCAGTCTTATGCATGATGTCAGTTCAATGCACAGCAGTGTTAGTTTGGATGTTGTAATAGTCATCTTTCGACTCTTTAATGATCTTGTAATTTAGAGGATCAAGTGACATTCACAGGATAAATGTATGTTTGGCAAAACGTACTGAGTCAGGAACATTACTGTTTACCAAAGGGCACATGCCATTGATTTGTCCCATAGAGAAAAACTACCGTATATGGGCAGGACACTGACTGCAGAATGATGACATGACTTCTGAGGTCCACGTAAACAGGAATCCTCAGTATGTCCATTTATGTTGGAGTAAGTGAGCAAAATATTATTGTAGGGCTGTTTTCTTTTTCTGTAAAATGTGTATCAGAGAATGTGTGTAAATGTAAGTAAAAATTCAGATTTCACTTTTAAATTAACACAAGCAGACCTACTAAAGTAAAGCACAGACAGAACCCTTGAAAAGTATAATTACTAAGAAAGTTCCACCTCTGCCTGGCTGTGGAGTAAATCCTTTAGTGGGCATGCTCCACTGACAATACCTTTCAGTCTTGAACTAAGTTTAACTTACTGTATACATTTTAATATTGCACTGGGAACTGTTGATGAAAGATTTGTATCTTTGGAGGGAAAAAAAGTATTTTACTACGAGACAAAGATGGAGAGATATAATGGGTCCGAAAACTGGAAAAAACTGGACCAAAGAAGTCTCTGTGTGTTTACATGTGCATGTATCTGTGCTTAAGACATTATTTGTATTCCTCCTATTCAGTGTTTTGGCTCTGTGGAGTCTGTTTAATCTGGCGGGATTGGACAACAGCTCCAGCCAACAGCTGACCCTCTAGTGCTGCATGGAGGTCTGACCCTCCCAGCTCCAGCAAGGGCTCGAGTCCCGGCACCCCTCTCTCCTCAGCCCCTAGCGCCCTGCGCCTCCTCCTCAGGTCTGTGTCTCCCTCTTCTCTGCTCTTCTTATCTTTCTGAGGCTCTTGTCCTTCAGGAACTAAATTTTCCTTCAGGTCCCTGCCCCCTTTCTTCAGAGGTTCAGGCGCATGTCCCTGTTTAGCCTTGACCTCATTCTGATTGGCATCTTGCTTACCGTCGATCACCTGCTGCATCTGGGCCAATTTCTCCATCTGCTCTTGCATCTTCTGCTCCTTCTCAGCCAGTTTTACAAGCTCGTTATCAGTCTTCTCCTTCTCTTTCTGTAGTCTCTCTGCTTCCAGTCTCTCTTTCTCTAACTGCGCTCTCTCTTGGCGAGCACGTTCCAGCTCTTGCTCTTGTGCCAGCTTCATTTGTCTCTCCCTCTCCTTCCGTTCTCTCTCCACTCTGGCCTGCACTTCCTTCTCAATCTTCTCCTTCTCCAGCCTTTCTTTCTCTATCCTCTCTTTCTCAGCTTCCAGCTGGGCAAGCCTCTGTCTTACTCTCTCCTCTTCTGCTGCAATATCTTCAGGCTTTAGCTGCTCCAGGTCATCTTTGGGCTTTTCTAGTTTATCTTTGGCAGGGTCAGGCTCATGTTGGCGCAGTGGAACCCCTCTCGCACCCAGCTCTTTCTGCGAGTCTCCATCTACAGGCAGTGCTTCTCCAACACCCACATTGTGCACTCCTTGGGGAGGTTGCTTCTCCTGCTTTTGATTCACCACAGCGTCATCTTGTGCTGGGTTGTGTTGAGCAGGTTTGTCGAGCTCCTCTGCTGCATTTTTCCCACCAGGAGCTTGCTGTTCTTGGACATGTGCAAGTTTCTGATGGTGCTCTGAGCCTGGTTCTGGAGCTTTCACTTTCCCTGCTCCCTCCATTAGATCAGGCTGCTGCTGCACACCTTTACCCACTTCTGCTGCAGCCTCAGCTAAACACAGAACATGATGGGTTATTGTACCGGATCCAGACAAACATACTCAGGATTGCTCAAATTTCATAACATATTTTGACACCATTAAAGTTTCAACTGATGCGGTGCTCAATACAATGAATGAAAACGATAACAATTTTGGCACTGAACAGTATTTTAGGTTTCAGACTGACCTCCAGGAGCTTTGGGTTCATCCTCTTCCTCCTTCTTCTGATGAATCTCTTTGTGTTGCTCCTCAATCACAGCCAGAAGTTTCTCCTGCTGGTCCAGCAGCCTCTTCTGCTGCTCTTGTTGCTCCTTGATCACCTGCAGCAACACGGCATGGTCGAGCACCCCCTCTGCAGAAAGAGACATTTAAAATATCCCAATTATCAGGGGCCAGCATTTACATGATCAGTCATTAGAAGTGCAGACAGCAGATTTGATAGTTGGAGCTGATTCATTGGGTAAAATCAATTATTATTTTCACTCTGCATTTAAAGTTGAGTGCAGTTAACTTGAGGTTGTTCATGTCTGTCACTCTAAATCATCTTTATGGAATTTGCAAATCTGCATTGCAAAAATGGACACCAGTTGATATCTGGGATTCTGTCAAAACATGACAAATGAATTCAGGGATTCTACCACAAATGGAAAAACAATTTAAAAATCACATCAACATGTTTGTAATTTTGGATTCTCCAGATCCATAGTACCCTACACAAGAAACTACAGAGAAGTAAAAGAAAGGAGATTGTGGAAGGAAGTCGAGCATTATTAACAGCAGGGGTCTTAAGGTAGACTGTTAATGTCAAAGCATGACTGTATGTTAGACATCAAAGGAAAAAGAGACAAAGAGAAAGATAACAGCAAGCTAGAAGGAAAGAGAGACTCATACCTGCAACAATCTTTTTAATCACTGTGGCAGAAGTCCGTGGCACAACAGAGCAGTGGGGCAAGAGAAAGAGAGAAAAACAGACAGAGCAAAGAGTGCCATAATAAAAAAAACAAGCCAAGCAAGAGAAAAGAGAAATAAGATTCACTGTGTTTTTACATGATATTTCATCATGATAAACCAAATGCTGATGCATGGTCAGTTTGGAGTGACTTCAGAAAAACAGCATAAATTGTTTGAAGCTTGAAGAGCAAAAAAAACGAAGGAAAGGCCTACTGACCAGTGGAGGTTACAGCAAGTCAGCAGTGCAAGATGTGCAAGTTTAACTTCTAACTATATACTTACACAAATACTTTCAAACTCTTTCTCTTTAAAAAGAAAAAAGTCAGAGTTCACCCTTCATTTATTTGATTTCCAGTCAAAAGAGCCATTGAGTACAAGTTATTCATTTTTCAACATCAGTAACAAAAGCAGAAAACATTCAACAGAAAATTACAATGAAGCCTCAACACCTAAATATAATATCACATTTTCCATATTTAGTATGTCCACCTTAGCCTTCATTTAAGCTTACACTCCTTTTGGGAGCTTTTTTTCAGGGTTTTTTCCAGAAAAAAAGGATAGACAGGATCACCTGTTGATTTTTTCAGATCTGCAAGACTTTGATTTTTCTCCTCTCTCACAAAGACAAAAACTTTAAGTGCTGTTTATTTGATGGTAATAGTTTGCGTGGTCTACCAGATCTTACACAGTTGTTAGAAGGCCAATTTCCTCCAGTTTTGGAAACTCATGTTTTTTCACTTATTTTTCTTAGACTTTACTGTTTCTTTTGCAAGTGGATTAACTTCTATCTAAATCTAAACAATTCATTAATCACTCACCCTCACAAATGTGTAAGCACAGACACAGACACCCCCCCCCCCCCCCCCCCCCAAAAAAAAACGAAATGCTGTTTACACTTGTTCGTTTCAAGTGGCTTGTATCTGCACTGTTACCTGATAAGACTGTAACCACATTTATGCTTGGTAATCAAATACACCTCCGGTTAGTCCGATTGAAATCTGACTGGTGTATGGTGCATAATATGCAAATCAGCTCATATACTTCAACCAATTGCCTGTGTAATTCCTAGTTGTTCTTGTTCAAGCCTTAAGCCAGACCTCTTCATGGATAAAAAAACAGTAGCTGCAATATTTATCAGTATGTTCACAATTACAAATTTTGCTCACGTTATCAGCCCTAATTTACACCACCGTTTACTAGAATATGTTTAGCCTTCTGTATTACTCCTCACCTGTCACAGACCATGCAGATACTGAATAATGAAGTAAAGCAGTCCGTGGGTGTTTTTTCCCTGAAAACAGCTGAAGGAGGGATTTTGTTTGTCGAATGGGGCTTGGAGAGATGGATTACACTTGTATAACATCTGGCTAAAATGCAGCTTCCTGAAATGGATTGAGTGATTAGGTTTAAATCTGTTTTAAACGTGTCTTGGGTGCACTTTACACCTGCATACGTGGATAATCCCTATCTGAATATAATCCTGATTCTCAAGACGCATGAAACAGCCAAGTGTAAACAGGGTCAGAATATCTTAAGGCAAGACACAGACATCTTCTTCCATTCCCTGAGTCACAAAGGCCTCTTTCTGGCGGGTCCTGACTAATTTTATTGTATAAGGTCATGTGAGAATGGGAAAAGAAGACTCAGACACGCAATTACCCACTCTCACTCAACTCACACACACACACAGCTATGCCCACCCTGAGGAAAAATAAAAATACAGGCACAGAGAATGACAGCTTTTGTTGGTAGCATATGCACTGAAAAGCAACACAGCTACTTTTTGCCACTGACGCTTTGATGAAACACTATGAAAACAGAAACTTCAACTTATGGCCTTAGGCTTAACAGTCAGAAGCCACTTTATACATAAACAGCAGTAACGCCAGCTCGCTAAGCTACATTAGCTTTCTGTTCTCAGGCATAGTTCTGCATTATAGAAAACAGATTACTGAGGGTTTGGCCACATCTCTGTGACTTTAGTAAACTCTCAGCTGGATAACAAAATCACTTACCCTCCATCTTGTCTCCGTCTCCATCCTTCCCATCCTGGCTCTTCTCCTCTTTATGCTCTTGATCAAGAGCCATATCATGCACCTCAGGCACAGGGACCCCAGCCACAGGCTCTGTACAGTGAATCAGTGAATGGGGTCAAAAAGCTCATCTCAAACCCTGAGTGTGCTTAAGCCTTTTCAGAACAAATAGTACGGGATAAGATACCAGGTCCTTGCTAAGAATGTACACCAACAATACTTGATAGACTTTGAATTCAAGATGATCAAAGGTACTCACTGTTTCCCGGCTCAGGTTCAACTGCTTTTTTAACGGTCTCTTCTGATTTCATATCAGCAGCTGCTTCATTCTTAGCTTGTTGTTCCTTCACTAAAGATGGATCTTTTAAGTCCTTTCGCACCACCACTGGGTCCGGCTGCTTCTGTTCTTCCTCTACAATCTCTTTAGCCTCATCAACCACATCCTTGGCCAAACGGTGCTCTACACCTTCCTGCTTTTTAGGCACCACCTCTGCCTTCTCTTGTGGGATCTCTGGTACCTGCCCGGCTTCCTGCTGGGCTAACTTCTCCTGTTCCTCTATAACAGGCTGGTTCTTTTCTTCCTCAAGCTCCTGCTTGTTCTTACGCTCGTCTGTCTTTACTTCATCATGAGGGACAGGTGGTTCATGGCGATGGGCCTCTCCATCAGGCACTGCAACTTCTGCAAAGGGATATTTGTATCTGTATATCTTAATTTCATTTTAATCTGTCAATTTCAATATTAGTTTTGTCGGCATTCTGATTACAGAAGGGTGGGTATCAATAGCAGAACAATATTAGCAGAAAATGCTAGATTATCTGATCCAATTCTGTAACAAATCTAGCCTGAAATAATACTCATTCATACTGTGTGAAGTGATGTTAGCCATATAATTCTACCTGTGGGGTCAGTATAGTGTTTGAGTAGTTTGAGTTTGAGTGATTACTACCTTCCTAAGTGAGGTGCAATTGAAAATAGCTCATTAAAGCTTACCAGAAACCTCTCAGACTGGTATTGAACAACACTTCAATAAGGTTAGTTTTTCTTGTATTCTATATTTTCCTTGAGGTCAGCTTAGATCATTTGAGAGGTTTTATGTACAAAAACCAACAATAATTCATTTATACATAATTAATTTATAACAATTTTCCAACTTCACTTTATAGAATTAAGCAGGTTGTTTTGTTTTGTTTTTTTTACTGTGCCTTTAAGACTAATATTGTCACTCTTCAAAGATAAACAAGTTTCTTCAAAACAGCAACGCTACAGGATGAACGTTCTTTACTATTAATGTAAGTTAATTTGAAGAGATTTTATTTCAAGCAATTTTGGAGCATTTCTATTAGTCAATTCATCATGAAATTTCACACAATGTAAAGGGCAACTTATTTTCTCAAATCAGCAACAACGTGTATATGATCTATGTTCTGACAGGCAGCCCTGCATTGTGTCTCATTCAAAAAGCAGTCTGGGCTCAATGAACCTTTTAACTTCAATTTGAATGGGAGGAACTACACTTTCCTGAGCTGAATGAGCAAATATACACTATATGGACATACCTCTCAATCACTGAATTCAGGTATTCCATTTGGTTCCATTGCCACAGGTGTATAACATCAAGCACCTAGCCATGCAGTCTGCCTTTACAAACATTTCTGAAAGAATGTGTCGTTCTAAAGAGTTCAGTGAATTTGAATGTGACACTGTAATAGGATGCCACCAGTGAAACAAGTCAGTTTGCAAAATTTCTTTCCTCCTAGATATTCCACAATCAACTGTGAGTGGTATTACTTAAAAGTGTAAGTGTTTAAAAACCACAGCAACTCAGCCACGAAGTGGCAGACCCCATAAAGTTACAGAGCGGGGTCACCGAGTGCTGAGGCGCGTAGTGCATAAAAGTCTGCAATGCTCTGCTGACTCAATAACTGCAGAGTTCCAAACCTCCTCTGGTATTAATATCCGGCACAGTTTTTGTGCTGGAGCTTCATGGCATGGGTTTCCATGGCTGAGCAGCTGCAAGTGTTGGATGGAGTGGTATGAAGCACCACGCCACTGGACTCTGAACCAGTGGAAACGTATTCTGTGGAGTGACGAATCACGCTTGTCTATTTGGCAGTCTGATGGACGAGTATGGGTTTAGCAAATGCCAGGAGAACATTACCTGCCTGACTGCATTGTGCCAACTGTAAAGTTTGGTGGAGGAGGGATAATGCTATCGGGTTGTTTTTCATGGGTTGGCCTACCCTTAGTTCCAGTGAAGGGAAATCTTAATGCTTCAGCATACCAAGACATTTTGGACAACTGTGTTCCTCCTAACTTTGTGGGAACAGTTTGGGGAAGGCCCTTTTATGTTCCAGGATGATGGTGCCCAAGTGCACAAAGCAAGTTCCATACAGGCGTGGCTGGGTGAGTTTGGTGTGAAAGAACTTAACTGGCTCGCACAGAGCCCTGACCTCAACCCCATCAAACACCTTTGGGCTGAACTAGAATAAGAGATTATGAGCCAGGCCCTCTCGTCTAACATCAGTGTCTGACCTCACAAATGCTCTTCTCGATGAAAGGGCAGAAATTCCTACAGACAAACTCCAAAATCTTGTAGAAAGCTTCCCAGAAGAGTGGATGCTGTTATAGCTGCAAAGGGGGGACCAAGTCCATATTAATGCCCATGGATTTAGAATGGGATGTCAAAAGCTCCTGTAGGTGTAATGTAGGTGTCCCAATACTTTTGACCATATGTATGTAAATACATTGGTTTTTCGTGGCACCACAAAAATGATTCATTCAAAACCGATCATTTTCACAACTCAGTTGCCTTATATGAACTGCATGGACTGAGGAGTGAACAGTATGTTTTAAAACTTTAAAGATGTTTACATACTACAACAGTTTTACTTTAAAATGAGTGAGGAAAATGTAGTTTTTCCAAGATGTGGACCATCTTTAAAATTAAACTTCTCTTAGTCTACTTTTATTCTCTTCTTATTCATCTTCAATATATTTTAGTCTGTACAGAATATTGCCTGGATCTAAATAAAGGTTTGTTTGAAAGTTTGATACAAGGAAGAGGTATAGATGGAAAGCAAAACTACAAACATAAACCTGGTGTGATCTAAAAGCAAAAATAACTTAAATGTAAAAAAAAGTAAATAAATAAAAATAATTAAAAAAAAGAAAAAGAATGATATATTCATTTACTATAATATGTTTAATGTATGTTGTACTAAAAGCTCCTAAATGCATGGACTAAACAGCTGACTGATGTAAGAGGTCTACAGTCATTTAATTCCACTGCATTACCTGCTTCAGGCCGCTCCAACTGTACCGCTTCTTTCTTTTCCACTTCTATAGGCCCTTTAATCTGTGGTTGCTCAGCCGGGCCCTTCTCCTCTGGGCCCAACTCTCGCCCTGCGAGTGGGACCTGGTCCACAGCAGGATTTAGTTTGTCCAGTCTTTCTGCTGGCACTGGAGCCACTGGGCTTTCTTCAGCTGAACAGAGAGAGCACAGTCAATAATGCAGCTCCAAAAACCTTTAGCTTATGCTTTTTGTTCACCATTTTGGCGTATCACAATGGCTTTTATATTGAGCATGTCTCCTAAAGAAATGGCTGAAACTTCAGAATAGAACCCTGTTTGTCCATCGCTTCACAGTCAATTCACAGCAAAGAGTAGAGAGACTAGTCATTCACACAACACTGATCAGCAGAGGGCAGCAGAGTATGAGTGACCACAGAGCACAGGCACTGCATTTGGAATTCTCCTGGAGATAAGAGATAGATGGATGCATAGTGCTTTCCATATAACCTTGCCTTTGTCTTGAGCAAAATAGCTTTTGAATATTTACACTATCCGCACCTTCCTTTATCCTATAGCTCTGGTTTTCTTCACAGTATAATATACCACATATTTCAGCTCCATCAGTTTGATTCATACACACCACATTATTGACACAGGTGCATGAAAAAATATAGACATTCTGAATAATTAACTCAGAACAAAACAAAAAAAGTGCCACAAAGGATTTTTGAGCAATACCATAGAAGAAACACTTCTGGCTACCCAAAAAAAGGTTTAATTTGTGAATGTGAAGAAACTTTTAAAGGCATCACAAAATGTAAAGGTTCTGTAGTATTTAGTGCTGCACCAAAATGAAAATTCTGCTGGGATGAAAACTGAAACAAAACCAGTTTACATAAAATAAACTCACTAAAATAATTACAGTAGTAGGCTACAGTATACACCACAAAATTAAATGTCCTTGACAAGAGAGAACGGTTGGTCATCCAAGCCAATGAATTTCTTCGCTTTTAGCTATACTTTGCACTTCAGCACAAATTCATTTGTGAATTTTTTTCTTCATTTAAAAAAAAAAGGGGAAAGACAGCATTGGTGTGCTAGCAGGGACTTTTCACTTGCTTTGTTTGCTGTATTCTGAATATTGCAGAGATGTTTTCAAGTGGAAACAGTGATTACAAATCGCTTGTCTAACGTCCCTCATAGAAACTGTGAAATGGTTTCACACAGCTGCTCTGCTGCCGTACAAACTGTTCAAACATTTCTGTGCTGTCTGCTGAATCACTATGTTTTTTTTTATAACCATTAAATTATTTGTAAAGTATTCAATTTTGACACCTAGTTGTAGGCTTATTATTTTTATTATTTCTTTTTTTGTCAAAATTGTTATTTTTTCTCTTTCGAAAACAGAAAGCACCATTTTGACCATTTTCAGTGGCTAAAAAACTAAGCAATTAAAAGGGTTCTTCCTAGAATATTCACATTATGTAGAGGGTCTTAAACCTTAAAAATAGTTCTTCACTCTCACATCTCATTTAAAAAACTGTTCTCCAAAGAACCATCTACTGAAAGGTTTTAGAGACCCAAAAGTGGTTTTCTATGGCACTCCAAAGCACCATTTTTGGCACCTTCGTTGTTAAGGATGTAAAAGAATAATATACTTTCGGAAGGCCACATTGCTCATGAGATTTACTTAATGCAATAAAATGAAATGAGATTTAATTAAGCTGTATTTGATTTACTAAAATTAAACACCACATGAGCCACAGTCAAGATAAACCACACTTCCAAAGGAATCCATTCTATCCATCATGGCTTCAGAAGAGATTAAAACAACAGAGGGGACAAAGCGAGCAAGAACAAGAGCCAGTAAGACAGCGAAAAGCAGAGCATGGGTTTGTGCAGTCCTGCGCCTGCAGACACACCTCTACTTGGCTGCAGGCTTTTCTACTCACTCCCCCATTCACACTCACTCACTCACTCCCTGAGTCCTGCGTTTCCGCACAGCTGCCCTCACCAGCACGCTGTAAACAGGAAACAGGTGTGGAAGTGGGTGTCCGCTCAGTGATAAATGCCAGTGTCAGTCAGGGGGAAGGGAGGGGGTGCGGTGAGTGAGTGAGAGAGAGGGGGACGGGGGAGGTGGGGAGGGAGAGAGAGAGAGAGAGAGAGAGAGAGAGAGAGAGAGAGAGAGAGAGAGAGAGAGAGAGAGAGAGAGAGAGAGAGAGAGAGAGAGAGAGAGAGAGAGAGAGAGAGAGAGAGAGAGAGAGAGAGAGAGAGCAAAGAAAAGGGCTGTTGGGACATAAAGCTGTCTGAACTGCCCTTGTGCACTTTTTTTTTCTTTACGATCCTTGTCCCGTTATACAGTGGGGGGATTTTGAGTCCCTTCGTCATTTCCTTTGCCCTCTCCTGTATTTGGATGCCCTCCTGCCCCCCTCCCCTGACTGGAGCTAGAACGGGAAAACGCCAGCGGCCGTCTCGCTGCTGCTGTGGGACGGTGCGCGCTCAGGTTTGAAGGGCATCATTCAGGTCACACCACCACTGAAAGGCCTACTTCTGCTCATCCTGCACTCTCTACACACCATGCACTTTTTCTCCATTTCTCTCTTTCTCTACATTTGTCCCTTTTCTCTCACTCCCTCCATAGCACAGACGTACCAAGATGTTTGGGCAGCTCTTTCACAGCAAAGCCAGGCTGTTTGTCGATTGTTTTGGGGGGTACAGCAGGTGGACCTGGTTGTGTCGTCTCACTGGAGATGGACAAAGTGGTGAAGGTGCTCAAGAGCAGAATCCCAAGGCCAACCCACAAAACTAGCTAAACAGAGGCAGAAAAAGAGGGAGAATCAGAGAAAGCTGATAAACATAAAATGTTGATACATACAAAACTGAACCTTTTCCTTTTCATAGCATTTATCTAATTTAGTCACTAAACACTAAATACTATGAGACACAGGCTCAATAAAGGCCACTGTATTCATTATTCATGTTTTATTTATATTCACAAATAGCATTTAGAACTGAGGTGAAATCTATTAAAACAGGTTTTGACCAGCTCGATATCCCCTGGCTCTGTGTGCATTCTTTCAGCACCGGTGGCATAAGACGCTTCAGGCCACTTGGCATGAAAAAGGGGCACTATCCTGGCAGGGGGGCATTACTCTCTCATGCCAACCCAAACATCTGCTGTGGCCATTATGGAGGGGGAAAAAAACAACAATTGCCAATTCTCTTTTGTGTATTCCCCAAATTAGGAGTACCACCCTTTTGGGCAGACTCTACTGGCTGGGCAAAGACACTGGGCAATCTTGGAGGCACAGAGAGTGGCCATCGGTCTGTGACGCCCATGGCATGGTGCTGTCACATCGGCACGACTGCCCTGAATAACGATGAAAGCCACATTGCTGCCTGTTTAGTGACCACACCTCCTGAGCAAAATGTGGGCAATGGACAAAATAGGAAGGATCATATTGGCAGAAATGTGACAGTTTATTTAACACACAATATGATGGACCTCAGTTTTATTTAATCAGTCTGTTTCTGTGGAGTTGAGTAATTAAAGCTAAAGATGGAGATCAGCCTCAGGCACTCAATAAGACAGACGCTGGCTACACTCTCACACAAACACAAAGTCAACAGCTGTGGGCACCTCTAAGCTAATGACAATATACATTAAAAAGAAGTCATTAAAAAAGTAGCTGGTATATGTGTATGTATGTGCACAAGCTCAAGTACACACGCAGCCGCTGTGTAAACGTATTTCTCACACTTGTGAACCCACTGTTTCCTCATTTCAATAGCAGAGATTATGCGGAGATATTAAAACATTCTCATTTCATATTCTGCTCCTGCTTCAATGAGCCCAATACAGCAAAATGCAAGCCATGTGAATTCACTGTAGGCTGAAAAACCCAACTGTCTTGCTCCATCAGTTCCTACAGAGCAGTGCAGGAGAGTGACGCTCTGATGCTTTTAGTTTCAATCAAAGCTGTACTGACTGATTACAGTTTAAATGGGGCTCTTAGACCGATCTGAAATCAACATACAATGTTAATCGTTCATAAGTATCTACAGAGAGACAAACGTGAACACTGATGTGCTTCTTTAGTACCTGAGCTATAAGCCCGTTCTTCATGATTTTCCTGTAGATGAGAGCAGGACAGATAAAACAGATCAGGCTGCCCATTGTGGCTCCTGTCAGACCCAGGATAGTCTCCACTGAAAAACACATACAGTTTTATTATGCCGCATGTTATAAAATGTAATAATGATATATATTATATATATTATACTGTGTACTGTGCAACACTCAGAGACTTCATTTTTTTTATTTCTAGTCAAAACAGCCATTGAGTACAAGTTCTTTATGTTTCAGGAAATATTTCTGAGGAGATTAGACATAAAATAATCTACTTGCATAATGTAGAGCAAAGTCAAAGGAAAATAAGGGGAAAAAACTGGAGTGTCCAGTTTTACTGTCTATCCTTCCACTGTGAGAAGACAACACTATCTAAAAGGAAGTGTAGCTGTCAAGAAGCTGTTACTCAGAAAAAAAAACAGACAAAAGAGGTGTAAATGTGCAAATCAAACAAAGAAGCTGCTGGTGTTCTCAAAACAATGGACTGGCCACCCCAGAGTCCAGACCTCAACATCACTAAATGTGTTTGGGATTACACGGATCATGAAAAGCACAACATGCAACCAACTTCTAAGACTGAACTTTGGAGGTGTTGAAAGATTATGTGAAAAACAGAAAGCATGTCTCTCTGTAATAAAGGCAAAAGCAGTCACACTAAATACTGAAACATTTAAAACTGTATTTAGTTGTTAAGTTCTGTGTAATTTTCTGTTAAATATATGCTTTCTACTTTCATCTTGATGCTACTTAATGGCCATTTTGACTGGAAAATAAATGAAGGGTAGTCTCTGACTTTTGCAGTGCTGTATTGTAAAATGAAACACTAGTATTGTTTAAACAACACTGAGTCCTATATGTGGAAAACATCTAATCTTTTGATTCGCTGTACCACACTTTCATTGCTCTCTCCACAAACCTCTTGCCATCTACTCCCCACGCTGCCCTCACACTGCCGGGCTGGGCACAGGGCCCGCTACGCATCTTTCATCCTAAGAGCAGCCATATTGTTTCACTCAAATTTATGCCCTGCAGTGTCTGTTTCCCTATGGCTGGATTTGTGGCCATGAGGACACTGGCGGCAGTAGAGCCATCATGGAGGACAGAGCTATGCCTCCCCTTTCAATCCCCTTTGTGTGTCTCACCCTCTCCCACACTATTAGCCTAATTGGGTCCACAGAGCCAAGCAGAATCCATGCCAAGAGTAGCCAATCTCCACAAAGTATGAATAAAACATAGACCATCTTCTGCCTAAAAATGCACGTCTTTATTATCCCGCTTTACTGATAATGAATGAATGCTGCAGAGAGGGAGGAGATGGTGTGACAGAGCATCTGATGGAGAGCTATTTTAAAGAATGGAATAAAGTGAAGCGTGACATCAGCATAAGTGACAGTGCCGTTAAGGTCAAACTGAGTAAACTGGAGGTAAAGGAATTTAAACAAGTAGCTAGGCACACAAACAAAGGCACATACATATTATTGTATGCACACACTAACCATTTGGGATTAAGATACCCCCTAACATAGTGCCGAAGACGATGCAGAGTGTAATGCTCTTGAAGCGAAGGGGTGGCATGTATCCACCAGCAGCAAACGTGCCATCCTTTTGCTGAAAAACACCAACAAGAGACAGGATAAACCACCAAAGCAGTAATTAATTTAAAAAATTTACATAATATTTGAACAAATATTTCTGGATCAGACATATGCAGTAAAACATTGATATGACGCATACAAGAGGATTCCGGATTTAGTATGAACGTTGATCTTCAGTGACCTGCTTAAAAGTAACAGTTTTATCAACTGAACAAAAACTTGTAGCCTGTGTCTATGTGGTGGCATCTCAGCTGATTCAGCACAGCAGCAGTAAGACTGAGAGCCAGTGTCTCAGTAGCTTTATGGAGGAGCTTTCTCCCTCTCATCATCAATCCCACGTTTTTATTTCCCTCCTGAATCTGTCTTCTATCTAGCGGCTGGCTAACGGCTTATATCACTGCCCCAAGCATGGCTAGCCACGTGCTGTCTGGAGTCTGAGAGTAGCCACACTAGACTTGGTAAGATCCACCAAGAAGGTAAGGATCAGAAGATATGATCATACACCAGCAGATAAAAAGACTGGCTCTGTCAGATACTTTCAGATATGCAGTAGGATTCACGACGAACAATCTTCAGTGACCTGCTTTTTGTTTTTTCCCAAAAGTTTTCTGGCACAAAGACAACTGTAAGGTGGTCAAGTGATAATAAAGTGCTGCAGCTAATGATTATTTCTCAAATTAATTAATCTATGGACTACGATTTAATGAACTGAACCATTATGTGCTCTATGGTTTCCTGTCACTATGTGCCTATCACAGTGTTGATCTCTTTCAAAGTTTTGTTGGTGTGACAGGCAATGGTGCAACAAAACAACAGGAGCCATGTTGCTTCTAACACTTTGTGTGTCTTAATACATGTAACAGAACATTACTGCATATTTTGTTTTTCCGTAAACAACTTGTTGATGTAGCAATTTGGCCCATAAACACCGTAATAGTTTTAGACATAATTACACGTGGTTAACCATTATGTTGATTTTGAAGAGCCGAGTTATGGGTGCTGTCTCACAAACGATGCTCAACTTATGGTTCCATCTGACCTGACATTTGAGAACAACAAATCCCATGAAACACGAGGATGTGGCCTATTTTTATAGGGTGAGAAAGAAAATCATACTTTGTAAATATTTAGAAAGTAAAGAATTTATATACAGTAAAAAATAGAAACACCATCGCCGTTACCACTGTGTTAGTGTATACTGGAGTCATACTCGTTTTATATTCTTGATATCTATATAATATGTTTTGTTTCCTCTGTTGAGAGTTGATGATGAGGCCCAGTCTCACCTGCTGCTCAAACAGCATGGTGTTGATAGCCTGTCTGCAGGGCAGGATCATCATGGGGAAGCCGACCGCCACAGACATCATGAAGCCCACTCGGATCATCTCTGTCACCAGGTTGGAGGGGAAATTCATCAACACGTTTCCAGCTATCGTGTCTGTAAAACTCACATAGCCAAAGAATCCCACCTGTAGTACAGGGAAAGAAGCAAAGGCAGAAATTGTAAATAAATAAATAAATAAATAGATAAATAAATGCCAGAAACAGCAAAGACTACCAAATTTCTTTTTTTATCTCTACATAAAAATTCCTGCATGGCTACTGACCGATATCTCCATGGTGGCCTTGGTAAGAAACTGCTAAATGTCCAACACAGCATCACAAGCTTCAGTTTGTCATGGCATTTCTGATGACCTTTCAACCTCTCCAGATGGCGCAATAAAATTGTGTTTATTTGACAAAACAATGGTGGAAAACTATGTAAGGGAACACGTTTTTTTCCCTAAGTCTTTTTGATCCCACTGGCCCCTACTCCCCCACAGTAAAGAGAAAAAGCAGCAGGACCCTCCCTCCACAAATTGGCCTTGATCTATCCACAGAGGCAAATAGAGGGATCCTCCAGGAACAACACCAGACAGAAGTCCTTGAGAGCGCCACAAAGCTCCCTTGCTACTCTGTACACAGCCCCCCTTTTTCCCTGCATTTGTTCAGGGAAAGAAAGCGAGAGGCTATAAAATATAAAAGGGGGAATGTGCACAAACTAACTGAAAAACACATGAAAGCACTATTAGCTCTCAAGGTAACATTTACACTCTGTCGTTTGGAAAAGAGAAAGGGACAAAGAACAATCCGACAGCATCTTAAATAGCATTCCGCTCACAGCTCTCCTGAAAACATTTATGAAGGACTAAAGGAAGGTGGCGTTTGCGACTGATGAAGTGGGTTGATGTTTATGGAGTGGGAGACAATGCCATTCAGATCCATCCAGTCATCCTCACTTTACCTATTTTCTCTGTTTACACTGAAAAGGCAGGAGGCTTCAGGGTATCAATGTGCACTATGGAGCTGACACACAGAGCCAGAGAAGACTAATCACCTGCAGGACTAGATGGAAATCACAGGACACAAGAGGTGAACACATGCTGGCACTCCTTCTCTCTCCTGCTACTCTGCTCTCTCCCTTAGTCAAGGGCCAAAAGTGACAGAGGGACCGTGCACATGTTCAGTTCAGCACCTAAAGTCAACCTTCTTTTCAAAGAAGGTGCACGATACACATATTATTTTTAATTTCGATTATTTTTTATAACAAAATAATCCCCTAATATCTCTCTCCCTAGAATTTAAAAGTCACTTGTGTGTGGGTGTGTATCATAACCGCTCCGCTCACCCTTTCTACGTCACTCTTATACGATGCACCCAGCTGCAAAGTTTTGATCACTGACAGTGGTTTGGTTTCTGCAAGAGTTCAAATAAGGACCCCTTAGAACAGACAGAGGGGCATGTATTCATGTCTGTGCACTGCTTCAAACATTCATTTTATTTGAAAGCATTCCAAACGAGAAATATGACTGAAATCACTCCTGGACCAACCTGTCAGCCTAATCATTCCAACCCTGTCCCATGACAATTCTCACACATCATTTTCACACATACCAGTGGTTCTCAAACGGATCGCTAGACAGTCCACATTTTTGTGTTGCAAGTTGCATCAGAGTAAAAACAAAGACCAGTTTGAAAAGTACTGTAAATACAAGGTATATACACAACAGAAATAAGTATGCCTTGCACATTCAAATGAACACAGAAGGCCTAAATTTTAAACCTTCAAAATGAAACAAAAGGAAAATAAATCAATCTTTCCCTCTCTCACTCACACACACATACACAGACACACACATACTTACAGTGATGTAGAAGGTGGTGACAACGTTGAGAGAAGAGGTAAAGATGGTGCTCATTCTCTTGACTGAGGGCTCATCCAGGCTGTCATATGTTGGCAGCACCTGCCTATAAAACAGAGGAGCTTTTATTCTGCACAAAACGCACACACATCCTCTCAAACACTTCAGAACTCCAGAGCTCTCTTACAATATGTCATTATGGGAGAAGGATCATTAATGACATGCATCGTATTTTACGCTTTAGAATTAATGTGATCACAAATCATCTTAATACTAGAAGTCATAAAAAATCTGGTTACATACATCCACTTCAAATAAAACAAACTCTACTTAGTGAACTGTGAGCTTAAGCACTAGAGGGAAAGGAAAACATGCAAGAAACGAAGTGAAGCAAGAAAGTGATAGAGAGGCTCATCATTTATTTCAGACGCACAAAAGGCAAAATGGAAAAATGGATAAAAGGAGGGAAGGGTAGAATGGGCAAATGATGAAGAGCTGGCTATCTCTGAGAACCAAAAAAAGTCACAAAAAGAACAAAAAATCCATATGTGTCATCAGGACAACCAATAAAACTGGAGGCCAATGAAACATTAAATGGGGAATTTACAATGGCTATATATTAGCGACAAGTGCTAGTCAGATTTTAGAACGTTATAAAGTTTCTTGGCAGCCTGGGCTTTTGTTTGGGCCTTCTTTCTCTCACCCACTCGCTGCTCTCTCTCAGACATAGTCTGAGCCCATTCTCGGTTTTATTGGAATATACAGCACTGTGTTATGTGCTTTTTAGCCAAAGCCTGGTCTGAAGCCAAAGGCCAGCCAATCTCATAGCTGGAGCCCACTAGCAATAAAAACCAGGGGAGGGAGGAGAAAAGAGGAGAGAGACTGGCTTCGGCTGAGTAGGACTGACAATCAATAGCTTTTACAGCCATGCTACAAGCACAGCATTCAGACTTTCACTATCTCTTATGAGACATGGAGAATGACCTAGTAAAACCTCCCTTTACAGAATTACAGGCTGTGGGCTGGGTCTGTGCATTTCAGCAATGATTTCATACACCAAAATGCCACTGAACTGAGAGCGTCTATATTATAAGAAATGGAAAAGTGTTGACACCGTAATTATTTTGTGATACTACTAAAATGATCATGACACCTGCTCTGAAAACTGTTACTTGAGGCTTTCCATAAGCTGTCATGACAATTTTATGACAGAAATAACACCATTATGGTGTTTACACATTACAGTGGTATTTACACATTAAACATCATTTCTGTGTGCCAAGCTAACACCTCATAGTACTAAAATCTGGACTTTACTGTGTATAATAAAAAATGACTTCCATTGAGTCAGTTAAGGTTTACTGACCTCGGTGTATCTAACTACTGTCTTGAGACTAAGGTAAGAATGGAAGGTACAGTAAGGATCCACTAAGGTAAGAATGGAAAAAAGGGAACTCATTTCACTTGAAAATGAGGTTTCGAATAAGCAGTATTTGATCTTTTATGTGGCACAAGGGGCATATTAGTGTAAGTAAAGCTAATTGGAAGTATATGTGAAGGTGCTGAAAGGGCTGTTTTGTGGTCAGATTAGGAGTCAAATGTCCTCACATGGCAGAGGCTCGCCGCTCCAATAATGATTTGGCTTAAGTGGCATCGTGTGACACACTTTCTGACCACTGTCCAAAGAGCCAGAGCCAAGCATCACTCATCACCATCTGAGTGAGCGTTAGAAGGTAACAGTCAGCCGCATTACTTCATCACTGTACTCATTAACACTGTAATCCACCACTTACACTTCCTCCACCCCAACACCCTCACTAATACACACAGTCCTCCAGCATCCAGAAACTCTGACACACCTTTCACACCCAAACACTCTCCACGCACCAGGCACACACATACCCTCATGTTGACAGAGGGAAGCTGGCTGTGAGAGAACATGCAGATGGAGAACTGGAGTGAGTGAGAGATGAATGGATGAATAAATGGCTCTTCCTTTCAAATAACAACATGGCTGACTGCAGTCTCAGATAAAGTCCCAGGGAACATGAAGTAAAATATTAAAAACGTTTGCATCATACCAAAATCAGTTAGTCAGTGTTAGTCTAAACATCCAGCAAAGTTTAAATAAAAAAGCAAAACAAAAACAAATTAGAAATAAAATAAAACATGGCTTAAAAATCACATATCAGATTTATATGAGAACTGTCAGGGTGTTGTCAGAAAGTTCTGATGAGCACCTGTGATTGACAGCCCTCAGTTCACTCCCACTGAAGCTGAACTAAGCAAACAGTGCGAGTGGAGGAAAATGAGTGAAACACGCTCTACACAGACAGATGGTGTTACACTAGTCTGCTGTGCTAAAACATTATCCAGCTTTTACATGGAGGTAGCGTCCTTATGCACTTTCATATTCAGCTATTCACTCCAGCACTGCCTGTCGGATGTGCATTTAGGGAATGCCGGAGTGGATAGCTGAATATACGAATAGATAAATGACAGGCAGATGGAGACTGACAGCTTGACAGCTCAGTTATGTTTGCTAGACTAGCTTTCGCTTAGTTGGTGGCTTTCACTCTGCAAGTTTTTCCTGACTCAAACAGAGAAACTGCAGAGGAACATAGTTTTGTTAAAGCTGTGTGAGTAGGACAACCCACACAGCCTTGTGATTGGTGAGGTTACTGCTTATGTACATGTGACACAAGATTAGAAATGAGGTTTACATGGAAAAAGAATTTTAGCAAAATACATCCACATTGGAAAGTTACTGACAGTACATACCTTGTACTTGCACATTTTGTTTCCACAATAGCAAGACTAAAATGCTTAGGAAAAAAAACACATATTTAGGTTCCCTGGGCCTTTAACATCTCCTTAACAAAATGTTCAAATTCAGATTTAAAAGAAGAAGAAAACACACACACACACAAAAGTTACAAAACAAGGAAAAAAGTTGTTGCTATAAAATGTAGAAGCTCGTGATAAAGATCCTAATGATGATTTTCATGGACCTCGATGACTTAAAATCCACAGTCACAAATCCCACATAAACTAAAAAACAGCTGTGTCTCACACTAATTATGAAGATTAGGTCAGGATCATGTGGCTGATGAACAGGTCATCACATCTATAAACTGCTGTAACCACCAATAATTGCCTAGTTTATGCATAACTATAAAAACAAAAGTAGATAAGGGTGCACAGATATGGAATTTTAACAACAACTGGTAATTAAGACTTACTGTTGCTGATATCAATAACCGACAATCTTTTTGCATTTCTTCATTTTTCACTAGTTATCCACTATCCATTTGCACAAAAAAATAGAATAGTAATTTAACAAGAATTATTGGCTGTAATTCCAATACTGAACTGATAAAAATAATTACATTTTCTCATTTACCGACCCAGCCTACAATTCTCATGATATCTTAAACAAAGCTCATAGAAGAAAATGAAGACGACTATAATGACTAGAGCTATGATGAACATCATTAACATTAACAGCTATGATTAACTATGGTGCATTATTACATCTGAAATTTTGCATTGCAATATCATAATGTCATGATGCATTGTTGCACCCCTTTTTACTGACAAATAATATATTGGCTATTGATAAATTGTACACCCCTAGTGGACAGATATTACAATTATACTTAACTACGTCATCATCCTGTTTTTTCTTGCTATTAATGAGCAAAGAGCAACAAAAACCTTTTCAAAAGTTCTGGTTCCTTTCTTTTACATGATCCACAAAAAGCAAAAGAACCTAGAACATCATTTGAGGTTTGTTAAAGTTGATGTGTCGAAGTATGTCATGAGAGAGCATTAGCAAAAATCATTTACCACAGTGAGAAAGTTAGTACCATTAGTGCCACACTATAATATCCCACAGACAGAGAGAGATCAAAAGGGAAGAATTTTGCAGGAGAAGTTTAGCACAGTCCCAGCTAGTAGATGGGGTCCATTTTCTCAGTGCAAACACTTGACACACCAGCAGCTTACAGCTGACTGTTTTATGTCATACCTTTAACAAATTCTGAGATAAGTCTTAGAAAAAAAAATTAAATACAAAAATACATAAACTAAATGACTGACATGGGCCATTCTGCACAATGAAAATGGAGCCCTATTACCTCTATTACTGTCTATCTGTCCCTCTGTTTGAGGCAACAACAACCTCACTACCTGACAGGGAGACAGGCAGAGGAAGATTGAGCAGGGGGGTAGGGGAGTACTTACGACTGACAGGCGAATGCCATGCCACAGATAGGGATGCAGCGAAAGACGCCGTCCCAGCGTACGTAAATGACCCTGCTGAGCCACAGGCCACTGAGGAGGCCGTGTTTGAAGGAGGAGAGCACCATCTGTGGTGGAGGGGAGAGCAGCAGGGTTACAGCACGTCCCAAAAAGACAGAAAGGCCGAGAGGGAGAGAGGGAGAAAGACCTTTGACCAGGCCATTGGGTTGGCCAATGGAAAGAAAGGAAACCCATAGTGACAAAGAGAAGCTAAAAGAAATGGCAGGCTAATGGAATACTGTTCCACACTACGGCCAGTGACCACTAAAACTGCATTTGCATTGCCCAGGTTGACAGTCGGATGGGCCTATACAGATAGGGGTCATCTACTGGCAATCAGCTCTACATTTGCCAAGACTGACAAAAAAGTCTTTAAATTAAGCCTTCTAACACACTCTGAGGACTTTCACTTACATACAACCTGATGACACAAAGATAAGAATAATAATATAATAAGGACATACTGAATCTCAGGAGCACGCAGGATATCAAGGAGGATAAAAAGATGAAATGAGTGAATGAAAAGTCAGAGGAGATAAAGGATTAACCCTTTGTGGCAAGTAACCACTTTCCCTTAAAAATTCAGAATATCTGCTGTCCACTGAACCACAATCACAAACCCTCTTAAGCAAGTCATAGGCCCTCACTGCGGTGGGAGGGTGTTAAAATGGTTCAAATATTTCACACACAAACATGCACACACGCCACACACAAAAACATGAAACTAACACATTCACACACACAGCTGATTTAGTGAAAATGAAGAGAGAAGAGGGGAGTTGAGGTAATGCAATGATCGGGTTGAGTCCGTGACGGTAGTGCGCTCCAGTCCAGGGCGTGGGCTACTTACGGGTGGCAGCAGAAGGTAGTGGCGATAATTGGCAGACACTGCACCACCCCCTTGATGCGCCAAAGGTGCACTCGCTCCACCCATGACCCACTGATAATGCCGTAACGCAGAGAAGACAACACTATCTAGAAGCAGCCAAGGCAGCGCCCGTCAGGGAAGCAGAGCGTGAGGGGAGTGGGGTGGTTCAGAAAGGAGGGCAAAGGGAAGACACATTTTGGTTAGAGGGTTAAAAGCCAGGCCGACAGAGGCCTGCAAGGGTTCAACGCCCCATGGAGCCGGCTCAGGTGCCTACACATTATTAAGCAACTACGAACACAGTTTGAATCTAGGCATTAAAACATAAGACACTAAAATCTGTCAAATTATTATGTGACTGTTACGCTGAGGACATAAAAATGTTATGACATTAACATTAAGTATCAAATACAACTCTGTAAAAACAGTGTAGCAGCGCTGTTATTGCAGTTGGCAGCACCGCCAGGGCACATTACAGCAGTTTTAAACCATTATCAAGGCTGAATTATGAGTCATTTATGCCAGGCCAGGCCATTACATTAAATGAAACAGATGCATTAGCTGTGACAGAGAAACATTCATTAGCTTGTGATGGATTTTGCTGAAAATTAGAGTAACTTGCACTAATACAAGCATAATGTTTTTCACTAGGGAGGTTTGAGTGGGAGTAAAAGGGGCATCATCATGTCCCTCAATGCATAAGGACCTAGCATTTGAGCTGAAGGTGATTTGTGTTTTGAAACACTCGGTTATAGAGAAAAGATCATTACATCACAAATATGTGCACCTCTAAATAATAATCTGGGTCAGGAAATTAAGGCTGTAGTGTAATTGTGATTTCTGGTCAAGTTCTGCTGCTGAAAGCAACATCTGTTTACTCTGTCTCGTTGAATACACTTCAGTTGAGGTAATAAAACAATGGAACAGCCCTTAAGATGGTATCGAGGACTCCCCAAGGAGACATGGCGAGGCCAATTGGATAAGGGCATGTTAAAAAAGTCGGTCTAAATGCAGCACAAAATACTTAACTAGCATTCTGCTTGATAACGACATGAACTGTATAACTCATGTTGTGATGTTTATTATTTGTTTTTTTGTGTTGTTTCATTGGTTTTCATAGCTTTGTTCACTGTATTTTGCTGTGCACACACAGATGTTCTGCTCATGCAGCCTGTGTGAACGTTGTAACCTGCTGACATGGTCACTGCAGTAAAAAGCAAGACATTCTAAGTGGCTTACGCCATGAACATGTAATGTGTGTTATACAGGCAGTACAAGATTGTACAGGCTGAAAACAATACTATGCATCAGTACATTGTGCATGGCAGCCATAATGTGAAGAGATCCTGTCAAAAATTAGCACCCTCACAAAGGCAAATACTCACATCTATGATTAAAACGTTCTATTCCTGCCAACAGCAGCCAATTGAAACTTATTTTAGGAAATATTGTACTTCAGCAAATATGTATGATGCTTAATCTCAAAACACACTGGACCACGGATGGAACCACTCAGAACAGAAAGAGAAGGAGTGTAAAGGTCAGACTGGATTGAAATACAAAAAAGTGACACATTGCAATTTAATAACCACAAAATATAGTTACACTAACATCATAACAATTTCCATTACAATCAGTGCTGTCTTTATCATTACCAACCTGTTAAATATATATACACACACATACACTTTTGTAATATTATATAGTAATATATTCTTTAAGTATTTCTTTAACTAAATGATCCTAAATTTCTTTCAAAAGAATTACAATAAGCAGATCAGTTCTTAACATTTTAATGCCATTTAATCTATGTAGCTATGGTAAAATCTAACTTTTCAGCTGTCTTGGTTATGGAAAAGGAGGCTTTTATAAAGCACATAACACAGCGGGCGACTCACCGTGAACATGAAGAGGGTGTAAAAAATCAGTGCCATGGCTGAAAATGACTGGATAGATGACATCATGTTCCTCTGCAGACTCAGAGGTAGCACAATGAACAGCGACACTGCAATCAGCAACACGACACGGAAACTGCCCGTTACCTGAGGGGGGGTGAGAGGAATCGTATACATCATACATTTCAAACAAAGAGATATCCCCTTACATTAGTACAGACTGTCAATCCACACCTGCAGTCAGGCCAGGAAAATAACAGCACATTTATGGGGGGAAAAAACTAAAGGTAATTCACTGTTATTTTCATCATCAGATACAACGTAAACTAATGGAACCTTCCTTTCACCTTAGTCTCCAAGCACTGCTTACCTTTAAACCTAATAGCTGAGCAAAGAAGTTGGACCCCAGGTCTGCAATGACGACATAGAAGGCAATACATGTTCCCAGCATTAAGCCTATCATACTAGAGAGAAAAAAAAGAGAGAATGGCAAAAATGTAACGGAAAATGGATATTAAATATTTAATTCAAAATAATATAATGCCCCTGTTGTGACAAAATGTTCGGCCCATTTGTCCTGAAATTTGAACACAGTGCAAATGGCAGCTAGCATTTTCATATTCTGTGAAACAAACAAAAAAAAACAAAACAAAAAAACACCCAAAGTTTTCTTCCAAAGGCAGCAATATCTCACCTTAATTCAACAAGAGCCTTCCCTGGTTTACCAAAAGCATGAAAAGCTGTGGGGAAAAAAAAGGAAAAAAAATACTCATTTCATAACTGTTGTATCATTACAGTCCAAGGAATAATAAAACAAAATAAATAAATAAGCAGTGTAATAGTCATGCTAGACAAAATCAATACAGTCACGTTGCCAACTGTCATTTTCAAAAGGTCACCACTGCATTTATCATTCTCACCCAGTCCGGCGTACGTCCTGCGCTTGGTGTTACTGGCTGTGTGGACCAGGAACATACAGGACTGGTGGGTCATCCAGGAGCAGAAGAAAAGCAGCAGAGTGCCTAATACTATACCACACTATATAAAAAAAAAAGAAATTAGACAAGCAGAGTAAATGACTGTTAATGCAAGTGAGCGATCAGATGCACACAGGTTATTCATTGTTCATATAAGCTCAAACCCAGTAGATCAGTAGTCTAATATTAATTACTGAAGCTAAGTTGGTATTAAAAAAAGAACTACCCTATAAAAGAAGCAAGGCAAAATTATGGCCACAAATGAAAGACCAAGCTCACAGGTCTTCCCACACCTAGCATGGTCCAGCTCTATAATAGGGTCTTCACTCACAAAGCCCACATTATGGCACAAGATCCTAAACATCCAGCAAACCCATACTTCACTCTTCTTTCATCTGGTCCAAGATATAGAGCACTATTATTAGGCCTGTTTCAGAAGAAGTTTCATTCCATCTTCCATAAATGCCCTTAACAATAAACTCCCACTATCATCACACATGACATCCCCTTTTAAATGTAGAAAGTCCTGTTCACTGTATGATACCAACTGTCTTCTAACTGTCTGGATATGGAATATGTGCAACTATATGTTTGTACTTTCTATGTTGTGCACAGTCAATAAATGTACCTTGTCTCTGTGCTGATCTGTGGAAAAGACGTTCTCATGGGGAACAATAACGGCAAATTCATTACAAATACTGATCTAGTCTAAATAACCTGTTGTAGGAGGGATATCAGAATAACCACCCAAGTATGAGACGTGGGTAAATAAGCATATGGCAGAGTCCGGCATATGGACCTGCACCGTAAGACTGTAGAAAGACCATTTTCCCACGTCTTGTCCGTTATGATGGATTGTTTACCTGTTTGAAGCAGAAGGGCATGGTCAGCACACTGACACCCACAATGCTGTTCACAACGTTCATGATTAAACCCCAGTTAGACGACGTCATTTTTGCTCTCAGTGGGTTACAACTTTTATATCCGAATGATGAAGGAGAAATGGTCAGCGTCTGCTATCTTTAACTTAAATACTGAATATAATATGGCCAGTCCGGTCCCTCTCTTTCAGCTTGGTCTCCACGGGTTAGTTCAGTGACGTGGCGCTCTGTGGACGCAGAAACACACACACACACACACACACACACACACACACAGTGGACACAGTGAGACACACTGACACACTGTGGAGGCATAAATTGAGGCTGTAATGAGTGGACATTCTGTAAAACTTCTCACATAACATAAATAGCTTGTAAACATTGCTATTTTGACCTAGTATGTTCAGGTTTTGTGTTTAAAAGTAAACGACTAAGTAAACCTTACCTGGCTTGCCACGACAGCTGATGCTACCGCCGAAGTTTGGGCCCGTAGCTCTTCCTCACTCTCACCTCCCTCATGTCCGAGGTCACCATCGGCAGCGCTGATGTTTTCAGTGTGTTCCGGAATTTTTCTCAGCTCAGACAGATCCGCGACAGAAGGAATAACTTATGAAAATTCACTCTTCCCTGTCAAACTCAGTTTCTCTGATGCGAAAGCAGGAAGTACACACGACAGGCTTCCGTTATGTGCTGCCCCCTGTGGACAGGAGGAGGAATAAAATGTGAATTCTGATGGGCTACACTGTCTACACTGACATTTCTCTGTATCTTCGTGTTTTTTGTGTATTTTTTAAATTAACTTATGACATTTAAGCGGTTTATTAATTTTCATCAATTTTCCAACCTCTCTCTACAGACTGTTTTATGCATGTTATAAAGCCGCTAACCGAGCTTTGTTCTGACTGGCTGCACTGTATTCTGCCTTATGCAAAAAGCAGTCTGTGCTAAAACACACTTAATAACACGCTAAACTGTTGTAGGTTGAACAGGCAGATATGTAGGTGTGTTGGTTTTTCTGACATCTCAGAAAGCTATGTTTTGAAACTTTAACAATGTTTACTTATTTCATCAAAGTATTTTATATAAAAAGTGAGAGGGTCTTTATTTATTTATTGATTTATTTATTTATTTGCTTGCTTGCTTTATTAGAATGAAAACCTGCAACCACAGTGGTTCTTTGCAGATAAGATTAGACACCCCAGCTTATGTGGAGGTTCTTTCAACTTTAACTTAAAGGTTCTTAAGGAACCAAAAGTGGTTCTCCTATGGCATTGCTTCCAAGAATGCCTTCTGGTTCCATTTGGTGCCTTTACTTTTAATATTGTACTTAACTACAAGGATGGGCTCACATGACCCTGCTGAAAAAAAACAGCATCAACTAGCATGCATTTTGTGCTGGTCTAAGCTGGTCTGGTCTAGTGCTGGTCTGGTTCTGGTTTAGCTGGTCACCCCAGCATGGACATGCTGGTTGACCAGCATACCAGCATCAAAGCACAACATATGCTGGTTTTGTTGATGATCAGCCTGATAACTTCCATTGCTGCTGACAAGCATACAAGCATGCAAGAAACAATGTATGCAGGTTTTGCTGGTGACCTGCCATGCTGGTCTGTGCTGGTTTTCCTAGCAGGGGAGTCTTACTCATGTTCTTAGGCAGTTTTTTTTTCGGCAAGCTCATTAGGATTTTGGACCTATAGATCTCTAGAAAGTGTTTTGGGACAAGTTCGGTAGGTAAAAAAGGGCTACAGATAAAAAAAAAAAATAATAAAACATAATTGAACTGAATTGCATTGAATCTACTTATTTACCTCTTGTTCTGTGCAAAGCAGCTGCAGAGTTCATGTTCATTTTCTTTACACAGTCAGTAGTACACTTGTCAGTCCTGTGACCTTGCATCTTATACGAATATGGTAGAATTTATAATTTGCAGAATGCATATTTTTTTATATACATTCTACTAATATATTATACATTTTACAATTGATCATGGTGTCTGTCAGTCATTGCTTAACTCTGCACAGATCAAACATGATGTTATTTTATTTGGAAAGAGATTTGAGCAGGAAAGGGAAGCAGGAATGAGGGATGTTGATCTGCAACAGGAGCTTTGTGGAATCCGGCCCACAGGCTTCTCTTGTGCTGTTAGTGGTTCGGCCGGAGGAGCGAGGTTGTGACCAGTGTGCACGAACCAGGCATTAACGAAGTCTCTGAGGACAGGATTTGAGACTGGCTGTTTTTAGGGGGCAGGTTTAGATGGGAGACAGGAAAAGTCTGGCTATTGTGTATCACTGGCCTCCTAACCAAACTGACAATTCAGCTTATTGGCTGGAGGGTCTTGTCACTCCACACCTAATCCCTGAAGATTGGAATTAGGTCCCTGCAGCAGAAGGGGAGACAGGGGGCAAGACTGTGGACCAGTGGGGCAGATTGCTGTGCAGATTCAAGGGGTACACTCTAGCTGGGATGAAATTAGACACAGGCACCCGATTGAACTGCTGACCTCCAGGGGAAACCCCTGGTCAGTGCGGGGTCACGCCAGCACAAAGCAGAGCGCTGAACTGTGAGAGGTCAAGCATGCGCGCGACTGAAAGGGAGTCTTTGTGAGCTAAGGCATGTACAAAATTTCCCATCAGCCACCAAACCTCACAGACTCCCCCAGGAACCTAAGGAAGGGGGATGAAACCTGCTGCAACCCCTGAGAGAGAGAGTGTGCGTGTGTGTGTGTGTGTATGTGTGTGTGTGTGTGTGTGTGTGTGTGACCTCAGAAAGGACACACACAAACTGCCTCAGTAATCACATTTAATTACACATCAACCAGGCCTGTGAAAGGGGGTTTTAATGCAGGACTTCTCAGCACACAAAAAGACTGACATGTCCAGCTAAACATTGCCTACCTTTGTCCTCCTCAAATCTATTAAAGCATTCTCTCGTAACCATCAGCAGTGCTAAAGGGCTTCAGATAACGGCTATTATGTTGATAATCATGAATAAAAGGAACAAAGGCTTTTTTTTTTTTAACAAGAGTGGTATGCCATTCAACCAAAGGTCAGTACCATTTATTATGGAGGCCTGAGAGAATGTTAGCACCAAATTCAATCAAAGGCACTATAATCTTAGTCAAGGGGTTCTGATCAGTCAAGGCCCAGAGATGAAACAACTGATTTATGAAAAAAAATGATGTTATATAAAACCATAGTAGAAACAACTGATTTATGACCGAATTATTGTTCACATAAACCAGACTGTTTACTCTCTGATTTTATCTAACAGGTTATGATGCATAATAGCAAAGTGTCGTACATTTATTGGTGCATCCCAGCATATTTTATCACATAAGTGCTCAATTTAATAACCTAAACTTTAGAATTTAAAGGGCCCATATTATAATAAACTGAATCTTCCTTATTTTTTAAACCAAAGAGATTGATATAGTGTTTGGCATTGTTTAAGTTTCAAAACATTCACTTTGCAGTACATGCAGTCCATATGAGCAAGCTTTCAGCTCAGTTTAAAACACTGCTAGATCTACTGCACTTCTGTTCTGTAATGGCACTTGAATTTTTTGTTCGATTTTTAATTTAATCTATTGTTCATAATCATGTTTTAATAATATTTTTCATTTCTATTCACCTACATCTTTTTAAATTTTATTTGAATTGTTTTTGTATTTTCTCATTTGTAAAGCACTTTGAATGATTGCAGTGTATGAAAGGTGTTATATAAGTAACTTGCCTTGCCTACAGAGACTAAGATTTTAAAAAGTCCCACTTTGAATTTGTCACTTTTGTGATGTCACTCAAATGAATACATTTATACTTATCCACCTATCAGTTCACGCAGTTTAGCCCCACCCATTCACACTGAAGTTGTAAGTAGTGTTTCAGCCTGAAGTTTTTTTAAATGAGGCATAATACAAAGTAGCCAATCAAGACAAAGATGATTTACATATATCAGTTCTAAAGTAACAGTAACAAAAACAGCTTGTTTAACCACATGAACTCAGCATGGCAGAAATAGCCCTGATTTTGCATCGGGTTAAATAGATCTGTTATGGTACATAAATCTACACAAATAAGTGGACCTCAGGGAAAAAAAATAAAACATGAGGAAAATGTAGTATATGGGGCCTTTAATGTTTAGGCCCTATGGGATTTTTCATGTGAGGTTTTCTTTGTGTGTGTTTCAAGTAGAGTTCCATAAACTATTCATGAACAGAACTAAGCCACAGAGTCATAGAGATATTATTCACCAAGGGTCAGACGGCTGACATGATTTTGTCTTCTTAAAGTCACACTCAGGCATAGCACATCTCCTTGGCATGTGTGACTGGACAGTAAAAGTGTCAGTGTGACATTTACACCATTTGGTACAACTCAATCCTCCACATCATTCATCCTGCTTTTAGACTGGCCAGCAAACCTTCCACAAATGATAGTTATTGTATAGGGAAAATTGTGCATTCAAGTGCAGTGTTTGACAGTTATAATTCTGGCCACTTAAGAGCACAAGGGTGGGGGTTAATTAAAATGGAACTTTGTTTTCTTTTCAGATTAGTTATTTGGTCCTTTTATCAGTTGTTTATCTGCAATTGCGCTAAGGGAAAGTGTGTGAGAAAGTGCAGATGAAATTTAATTTCAAAGAAAGCAGAAATGTCTCTCTTCATTAAAGAGCTCTCTACACAGACATGGCAGGCGTCTGTGCCTGACAGGCAGCTATTTTACAGGTCTGAAGGCCTCCCTCCTTCCTCCTCCCTCCTTCCTTCCTCCTGTGCTTTTCCATACCTTAAACACCTCCCCCCCATATCCTCCAACTATGAGGACTGTGAGTGCATCTCAATTAGGTCTTCATACTGATTTAGGCTAAAATAACCCCACTTAAACACCCATGAAGTAGTCAAAAAACTGACCATAAATTTTTGAAGAAAAAGACAAACTCATAAAAAAGGAGAGGTGACAAGAGTTGCGCTGATGGGTTGATCTATATAGCCTCTCCACCCCAGCTTGCTTACGGCTAGCTCTTCAAGCCCACCATATATCAGCCACTGGGGATGCAGAGCGGCGTCAATGGCTGGGCCTGTTACCTGCAGCAAGCGCAAAAAGAGCCCCTGTGTAGAGTCGCTCCTATTAAAATCTCTCCATGAAGCATGGTTGTGTGTGTGAATGCCAACATCCGACCAATTTTTTTATATACGGCCTTGGTGGGGGGCCTTCGTAAAGAAAGGAGGCATCTCATGACTGTGCAGTGGTGGTATGTGGAGGAGGTATTGGATTGCTTGGAAATAAGAGATCTTTGAGGACTTTATGGATGAAACTTTTTAGAAGCATAATGTTATGATAAAAATACTTTGATTTCAGCTCACTTTACCCATTTGTTTACCATGGAAGAACCCTCAACACCACTCATCACTAGAGCTATTTCTGCTGTTAGTTCGCTCTATTTGGCCTTGCTTCTTTCAAGAACTGCCTAAGTCATTTTTCAATCACCAAGAGATTATCATGTATGTAATCAAGTGCAGGAAGTGACCACCAGGTGAGGGAGGCCCAGAGTACAGGCAATTAATGTGAATGAACAGACACGCTGTCATGACCTTTACATAGCACAATTTAGCATCTCTTCATCATGAAGCGTGGCCTACAGCTGGTCAGGAGTGAGGGGAAATGCATGTAGACATCTCATGCCCCCTGT